AAGACACATTCCTAATGCAAGAAATTGTATAGGGCTAATAAAGTGATCTTATTTTATCTTATCAGAGCAGTGGATTGGCTGATTATCTGGCCAATGAGAATGAGGCACCTGCCTACATTCCTGCCCAGTCCATTAGCCAGATAAGTAGCCCAAAAGAGTCAGCATCCCATTGGTTAAATAGCTGTAGCTGCACCACCAAATGTAAGACACTTTAAGAAAGTAGCTTACTGAAAGAAAGGGGTCATGAGAAAATTAGAACTTCCCCTAAGAGAACAGCAGTCACATGCAAGCTGCGTGTTCAGGTGCTCACGGCGTCACTGTGATTCACATTGTGGATCATCCTGAATGGCAGGCCATCAATCAAGCAGCAAAGCATGAAAGTGACTATGGATAATGGGAGAACGGTGTGCGCATTCCCACGCTGGTCTGCCACAGTGAAATTAAAAGGGAATGGGCTATTTTAAGAACCTCATCCATAACCTCCAACAGTCACCTCTAAAGAACAGAACAGAAAGCAGCAGTAAACAATTTTGCATTATTTTTTTAAGCAATGCCCTTGATTCTTTTTCTCCCAGGATCAAAGAACTATCAGCTTATTCAATCATGGTACCAAGCTGTCATTCAACACTGTTCTCAGATTTTTCTTGGTCTTTGAGACTAACATATCCTTTACAAAAAGGAGCCTTCTCACAAGATTTGAGCCCTCATTCTAAAATGCAGGTCTTCGGTGTGCTTGAGATTTTATATTTTAGATAAAGCTTTATACACTGCATTCCAAACTGTTGAATAACAAGGGAACTACTGTACATAAATAATATTTTTATATTTGTTTCTAGCTCATTTCTGAACATCCAGATCAAACAGCTGTGTTATTTTATGATGTTGCTGATTGACACAAGATTTAAGGTTCAGTGTTTCTCATGCACTTGGCACAGAACACAACACAGGGTGCTGTGCTGTGTTCCTTGTGCTGCATTGGGATTGCGCTACAGTAAGATATGAGTTCAAGTACTGATGTTATTATTTTTCTAATAGATACCAATTCCAGGTTTTTGGCAGGTCAAAAACAAGCCAGCAAAGAATGAGCGAAATGAGCTGAAGAGAACCGTCCTTATTGTCTGGTTTCTCCAGGTCAGATGTTTGCCAATCAGAAAGTGATTAGCGTGCAGGTGTGCCGAGGTGCGTCTTTTGCCCTCTTTCATCTCAAGCCCCGTTTTTTGATCCCGACAGCAGAAAACAGTGACTGCATTCACAGCGAGTCTGTTTTCTACATGTCAGTCCGGCACAGAAGGAGCTGTGCCAAACAGTTCCTAACTGAAACATTCCTGAGAGATGGGACCCTTTTATCATTCAACGCTCATTCCAGAATGGGTCAGCTCGTTGCCGAACAGTGATCTCCAGATCGCCAGGTGCGAGATGTCTCCATGTCATTTTCATTTTAAGGATTGGATCGTTTTATGATCTCGGCTGAGCATCTTTCGAATTGCTTCATAAAGGGCACACACACAAAGTTTTTCTCCCTTGCCTCAAGCTGTCTCCTGTAAATCCCTGCAAGGCTCTTTACAGGACTGTGCTCTGTACAATTACACTTAACCCCACTGATGTTGATTCTATAGGCCCTTATGCCACTCTATTGCTTTTATCGGTAGACAAAATTCCTTTAAATCTTTATGGACTTTGGCCTTAACATGACCTTTTCATAGCCATGACCCCCACCAGGATAAATGGTCTGAAAATGGACAGATGGCCTTGTTTAGAGTGATCCCAAGTTGATGTGGCAAGTAGGTAACACAGTGGCGCAGTGGTTAGCTATGCTGCCTTGGATTCCTGTGGCTCTGCTCTGGGTTCAGTTCTGGTCCTGAGCTGCTGTCTATGATGAGGGTTTGTGTGGGTTTTCACCCATAGTCCAAAGACATACAGGTAAGTTAATTGGCTTCAGAGAATACTGGCCCTGGTGTGAGTGGGTGTGGCTGTGTGTCTGCCCTGCGATAGACTGGCGTCTCGATTGGGGTGTATCCTGCCTTGCTCTCGTGGAAAACTGGGATAGACTCATGCTCCCCCACACATGATTAGAAAATGGGTGGATGGATGCTGTGGACATCTAAAGATTGTTGAAGCTTTGCAGAAATGCTGTTTTCATTTTATTACTATTTTTTTTAATTCTTCCTACAGTAGACCAAAGAGTAACCTCTACGGCACTTTTACTTACTCATATCATCCCACCACCTCATCCTCGTTGACATTGTTGAGTCAATAATGAACCCTTTCCGAATTAGGGCATGACCAAACAACATGAAACAAACTGTCAACTAGTCCTTTCATATATGGTTTATTTTAAGTAATAGCAAGTTCATGGGGTGTGTGTACACAGTGTTTTTGTATTTAACATATTCTCTATCCAAACGCCTTGCTTGTGGAAAGATGGAATTAATGGCCTTGTAAATGATCACAGTCATCCACAACCTTATTTAAAAAATTATCATTGCTGCTGTTCCACTTTCCTACTTTCCTTCACCTCTGACAACACTTGGAACACAGAGGTCAGACAGTCCAGAGTGTCCTCAGTAAGGCCTGAGTGTGTGTAGACGCAGCATGCCTGGTGCATCATTAACAACATGCAAAGAAGATGTGTCATTCCACTGGAAAAAGACTCTAACCAGTGGCTTAATAAGTGCTACACGGGAGGTATTAGGTACAACCCTATTTGTAACCTTTATTGAAAATAAAAGCATCTCATTAAACAATTTTGACATTCACCTTCACATACGTTCTAGACTTGGGTGTCAGGAATCCAAGTCTGGTCCCCATTTAGCATCTTCCTGCCTTGTGATCCCATTTTGCATTCTTCACCCCCTCCTTCTCTTTCATTGTTTCTGGGTGTAAGGGGTCTGCAAGTATCCAAACTCTCCTGGAAAGAAAGAGAACCTTGGATCACTACTGCTGGCCCGCAGAACGTCACAAATTACACACGTACTTGATATTCACCTTCACCTAATATTCATGGCACAGCCAGTATGCTGCTTAGCCTAGTCTCCATCTACTGACATCTAGTCTGTACAAATCAATCTGTCCTCCAAGTGAAGGGTATTGCTAGAGGAACAGTGCGTTTGTTCCTCATATCTGACTTTTTTCAAATGGATTCAAAATGTATGTGTGTAGAGAAGAACCATTGTTACAGAACTAAGTGCTGTAAAAAGTTCTTTATTGGACAAGATATGCATGCGGTAGGAGTAAAGATAAAGTCTATCTGAGCCTGGAGCAAGGGCTCCGGTGTTGGAAAAGATGCAGTTTTCTACATCTCTACATATTATAAACCGCTCTTCTCCTGGAAAACGTGTTAAATTCATTAAATTATGGGTAAATTAAGGGTAACCTCTCCACTACCGTGAGCTCCTAACAATTTAAAGAAACAGGAAGTCTACAGATTCTGGACCCTGAGGTGTGGGCTTGGGAATCAGTGGGATGAAGGCTCATTTGACTGATTATCCTGGTTCCTGCAGTACAAGCAGACAGAGTTTGCAACTCATCCCTGGATGGGACCCTGATTCATCCCTTGGATAGCCTTGCAGTGTTAGTTTCCATTTACTGTATAAAACTTGGTGGACTGGAGCAATTGGATTAGAGTACTCTAAAGTTACAGTAGCTACAGTATGTAAATCCAAAATCTTCTGATTAGGTGTCCAGTGCATAAACTTACACCTGGTATGTACTATAGAAACAGTATTATTTTGGACCGCAAAGTAATTAATTCCAAAGATATACTGAACTAGAAATGTAGCCTCTATGATCTCTTAGATTGAAATAGTAGCCAAAGCTAAATTTCATTATATTCCCACGGCTCTGTGCTTAGATGAAGTCAGCATTTCATTTGATTAAATTAATTTCTTGAGCCCTTCTCTACTGTGTGTGAAGTTCTGGTTTGGTATTTTAGTAATGATGGTATTGCATTTCTAGAAGGAATACCTAAGGGAGAAAAACACAGAAATATTTTGCTTTCAAAAACACTATTTAATAGGCAATATGACAGCATCATTTGCATGTCATGACTTTAAATATCCATGGAAGTTGGCTTATCAAAGGGTAAGGCCTGGGTTGCCTTGCCTTTAGTTTCAGTATTTGATGTTTGTGATCTTTTTTTGTACTTTTGTTGAAAGTAAAAGGTTTTACTCCATACATACGTTACCATGTGAAGGGCGTTCAAGGGGTTTATTATTCAGGTCCCACCATAAAAGTCCAACGGCAATATCTGTCCTCTTGGTTGGTCCTAGTAAACAAAATACCTTGTTGAACACTGGATGAGGACAGATAAGGCTATTCAAAGTATGAAAGTGCCCTAAAAGTTGAATATGAAAAGGCATGATAGATGTAGTGTGAGAGGGGAAAAGGTCCTAATCTGACCTAAGAAATGTAAGAACATCTCCAACAGCACAGCCAAGAGGAGTTTACAAACCACTCATTCAACATCCCTCATACTGCATGGGTCTATATAGTTTTATAGAACATAGTGTTGGGTGCTTCCCCCACACCTGTTAGGTAGCTAACCAGAACTCCAACCAGCACCACTGTAGTCGTTCCAAGTGCTCCATAGTACAGGTATGATATGGAGTAGAAGTTCTCCAGACCAGACAACCTATGAACAGAAACAAGGCTTTAGCAGTGGTTCAGAGGCAGTGTGCATTAATTAGACCAATCTGCCAAACTCCCGATTAGCAGGTCTACATAATCCAGACTTGTCACAAAGATGATTGTCAAAAAAGGCCTTCTTTTACAAAACCAAATTACTTATCACATTCTTCAGATGTACTTATAGATTTATTACCCATATCCTCAACGTCTGACCGTTAGAAAACAATTTTCAGACACTAATAAAGGATTTTACCTTGCTATTTCTCATCTCTCCATTCATCCAGAATTTATGTGGTTCATTTAAATTACTTATTTATGTTGGATTTAAGCACTTGATAACACAAGTAGAGGAAAATCTCCTTCCACCATATTTCTCCAATTTTCCTTACGCCTCCTGGATTTTCGTGGCAGGCTGCCAGGGAGCTGGAGTGCCAGAGATCAGGCTGCTGTTGTGTGTCAAGTTGGTGGAGGGCATTAAGGGGCAGAAGTCAGCATAACCAGACAGCACCCCCATTACTTCAGAGCTGGGAGGGTACAGGATCGATCCAAGAGCAACCCACAATGAAATGCCAAGTCCTGCAAATACACCTGCAAAAACACCCTACAGGAACAGGAAAGAAGAGCATGTCAGAGCTGCCTGTCCTTCCTTCCTCTGCGCCTAGTTTAGATCTGCATCGCTGACGTTTCCACCCTTCAACCAGGAAGTGCACAGGAAAATCATCACTACCTTTGAGGTCAATTATTTAATGCAGCTCTAAAACACATGCTGTAGCTTTTTAGCTTGTGCTCATTTTGTATTCCAAAGCTTTGAGAACGTTGCCTCACCGGGCTCCTTATACTGGTGTATTCTGACAGAAAAGAAGTGGTAATAGAAACAGAATTCTACAGTGCACTCAGAACTATAGGATTCACTTGAGGTGTTGGAAAAAATAAAGTATTAAGAGGCATCTATGTAGGTGAAGTAGTTCCAAGTAGGGAGCTGTGTCAGCATGCGTACTGTAGGCTGCAAAGGAACAAGTAAAGGTTTACTCCACTGCCGAAACGTTACGCCTTCCTCGGGTGTCCACATCTGAAAAGTTCTGTTTCTTTCCTTCTCTTTTCAGCGGGGAATAAACATTTACGTGTTCCTAAAAGTAGCTGAAATGACTAAAAATACATTTTAGTAATAAAAACATGAACCACAATTGCTCGTGGTCGTGCTAATGGTTCTCCTTTCAGTTGGCACGGTTTGGGCACTCACCAGTGTGTTGGCTGCAGGTATAAACATGCCCAGGATAAAGGCTCCAAGCAGTGGGCCACTCAACACCCCCATGACCGTGAATGACCCCTAGAGAGCAAATGGGCAAAACAGAACACAAATCTTTGCAGGCTGCAGGACGTGAATGTAGATCAACAAGCATCTGTTTTCTAAATCTTTCACCTTCACGAGACCATTGTGGTTAAGTGAAGGTCTGCATTAGAAATGCATATTGCTAAATGGAGCCTTAACACTTCTGGATCCTGGATCTGTGCAGCAGTGTGATTTAATTGAATGTTTAAAGACTTCCTGGTAGCTGCCCATACCTTGAAATGGTGACTGTTGTTTCAAAGTTTAGACTGATCAATATAAATATAAGGGAAGAAAATGCTTTACCTGAAGAACCCCTCGATCCAATAGGGAGAAGAGGGAAGCAACAGTGATGCAGATGATTCCAAACATGAAAGCTGTAACGGAACAGTAGAGCTGTAGCAGATGCAAGCAGCTTCAGAGGGAATCACTTTTAAGTATCCATCTGGTTAGTTGTAAAAATTCAGGGATGATCATCTAGCAATTAAGTTTAACATTTCTCATTGTTCCCGATATCTGACATGTTAATATGGCAGGTATTACAACACTCATTTAATAATAACTCCATTTCTTCAGAATGACTGTAAATGCCCTGGGTTTAGCATGGTCTGTGGCATTATAACACTCTCTCTGCTCCTCTTGCACGGAGTGCCTCATAGGAATTGCAAGATCTGAACAATCAACTGAAGTCACCTTCAGAATCCCTATTGGCCACCAGCTCCTGAAGAACTGGTTGGGATTTTTTCGGGTTATCTTCTCTGCGGTTTTGCTAAAAGATTGCATAGAAGCTATCTAAGATCACAAAATTCTTCTGTTCAACACATGCCAGATGTGTATCGACACATAACGTTCCCTTTATCTGAGTGTAAAGTGTAAGTTTCTGCAAAGTCAAATATGAACAGGAACGAAGTGTACACATGAGAGAAATTGAGCTTGCACTGACTGCATGTGCACACAGCGTTTAAAAATATTTTTGGCCCCTTCCTTAGAAATACAAGAGTGTTGCTTACTATGCCTTTTAGCTCCATTAGGCAATTGCCTTTGACAGTTAAAAAGCCTTATCAATTATAAGGTTATAATTCAGTGCATTCTGAAACAGGCAGTTCATCAAAAGCATGAATGTTCTGAGGTGTACTTCATCCTTTCATGTAATTTTAACAGCTGTTTAAATCACAGAAGCCACCGTAAAGCTTCCTGGTACCTCACTTTTCCACTCTGGGGGATCCCCTGCAGAGTCCATTGACACATCACAACTGTAGCAGCTAATCTTTTTAATCTGCACAAGCGCTTTCAGTGTGCAATGCAGCAATGTAGTTTGATGAGCTTGCAGCTCCATAACTCCTCGAGTAGGTACAGTATTAGGCAATAGAGGACCAGGTTTGAGGTGCTGACTACAATTCTGATACTTGATATGAGGGTTTGAATTTAGGTCATGAGCCTACAGAACACCTTGTTTTCCTCCATCACACAGTTGATTTGTGATGCATTAGGTTTACAGAGTGAAAGGATAATGAAGGAGTGGGTCAGCTCACACAGGCCTTTGGAGATTAACACCAGCCTCTTCTGTGACACCTGGACGAGACGGGTCTTGATCAGGTCTTCCATGGTCACGGCCGCCATGGCGTTAATACTGGTGGAAGCCGTGCTGCCAAGAGAGTGTAGCCACATTTTTCAGACTCTAGGCTTTTCTTTTCTCTATTGAGACTGACTAAAAAATCTAACACTGAAAAACGAACCAAGCAAATGAATACAAAAGGCTAGAAAAAGGGTTGTATCCTTAATTGTTTGAGTGCCATTTCAGGTTTCATTTAATTTAATTTCAATTAATTTATTTCAGAACAAACAGGCTTTACAAACATGGTTCACAGTGGTGAGAAGCAAAGCAGTATGGCAGTTAGTACTTCAGTGATCAGTAAGTTCCAAAGGTTGCTGGGATCACAGCCGTTAACAATTAAGAATAATTTCTGCTAGAAATAGAAGAACACAGCAGAGAGGTAGTCGTTCTGCCTTCAGCCTCCCATTCCTTTTGCGCTTATCTCACCAGCTTCAACTGTTTATACACCCATAGCCCTCACAATCGAGCCCCTTCTATAAAGAAACATTGAAACATACCTTAGTGTTCCACTGTATGCAGAGGCAAGAAACAGACCAGGAAAACCAGGATAGTCTTCAAAGATGTCCAAGACGAAGTAAGGCATATACTGAGAGAGGGACAGAGGACCAGAAAACTGCAGTACTCTAGTCCTACTAGCTTAGACATTGCCCAATGTTTGATGCATACAGTTCAATGAAACATTTGGCTAGAACAGTCCCAACCCCTGAATCCTGATGGGATTTAGAAGCACCCCATAAATTCAATGAACTTGATTATAGAGCAGGTTTTTTTCAAAACCATGTTTCTTTTGCATTACTATTATAATGGTGTGCAAATATTACAATGAAGTGGAGTGGCAGTGGTGTAGACAGATCCCAGATTCGAAAAGAACACAGCTTGCCAAGGAGCCACGGAGAACAAAGAGAAATAATCTGTCTCCCAGCATGAGAAATTCACGTAAATGTTGACGTCATGTCGTTCCAGAAATGACAAAAAAAGAAACTACGCTGTTGTTCCAAAAATGCCATTCTTGCTTGCTGCAGCAGTAGTTTTATAAGTCATCACTACAAGTCACTAAAGCACACTGTTGAACCATGTTGATTGATTTTGTTCAAACCACTAGGGAAACTGTAATGGCAGCGGGACAGCTGCTGGCACACACCACACTAATTCTTCACTGCCAGCATGCCAATTTTTCACATGGTCTGTCTTCTTTTGGACCCTCTCCAGGATCCTAGATTTTTCACGTTGCCCTCTTGGAAAAGACTGGAGAAGACGGTCCTCTTCCTTCCTGGTTTCTCTGCACTTGGTTCTACTCACACAAGTCACTAGATCTTCTCACCCAATTCCTAAACTTCACTAGTCACTATTTATTTTGACACAACCAGACACGATTATATTAACTCCATGTTGGCCAAGCACAATAATCTCTAAAATAAGTAGTTCCACTCAAATCTTTGCTCTTACTCTTCATCAAGCACCTGATCTTCACTAACAGTCACTAATCCCCGATCAGTATTGTGGCTGATCCTGTTTGGCCAGGGACGCCTCTCTGTAGCCAACACTTGCGTCAAAACGCTGACACAACAGCAGCTGGTTGGTTATTTTCTCTTTCACTTCTCATACCCCTGTTTGTGTGCTGATCAAAGGGTTTAGGGGATGGTCAAGACAACCTGTGCCATCTAGACTCTTTTCTCAGCTGTAGGGAGAAGGTAAGCTTCTACATTACAAAGCAATACCCTACTCCTCCAGGTACAGTACCTATAATGCCCTACACCTCCAGGGTTTAGCTGACCAACAGCATTCCTCAACAGCACACTTCAGCATCAACACACAAACCCAATCTCTTTTTAATGAGCACTCTCCTCTGGAGCTTTTCCACCTTCCATGCTGGAGCCTAGACCCAGACTGAAACCTTTTGCATCCCAGCTGTTCTAATAAGCTTTTTAATTAACCCAGAGAGCTGGCTCATGCCATTAGAACCTATCCTGACAGCTCCTGTCCCTCATATGTAGTTTCACTCCCTCTGAGAGCTAATTGCTCAATCAGACCAGGTGTGCCTCATTCTACAATTTTTCCATTTAACAGGTGGCTCTCTAATGAAACCACGTCCCACTACCTCACAGGCAGCAGCAGATGAGATCAGATTCTTTTTTTGTTTCCTAATATACCACGGGAACAGGGGAGAAATATGTCTAGGACAGTTGTGATTTACACACATTTGCGTTGCTCAAACCCAAAGCAATGTATTTCAGTGGAGCTGAAAGTTTAATTACCAAAGTGCCTCTCGTCATGAATTGGAGACCATAGCACACTGACCCAGCTGCCCCTCCCTAAAAACAGCAGGATCTCTCTTCTGTATTCAGTTCCTCTCATTGCATACTGTATTATGGGACTTTAGAATCACAAGTGGCATCCAGCAGAAAGGCTTATTTTTTTGAGTGACAGGAAGTGACAAGGGGAAATAGATCAAAATTACACCACAATTCTAAAAAGAATTAAAAAGACAAGACTAAAGGAGACACAAGACTAAAAAAGAACATGGTTTAATATAGGTTTAAACTGAGTGTGCACGTAATAAGAGGCATAACATTTGTCATTTCACGCTTATCACTTTTTGTCTGGGCATCCTCTTTGGATATAGCCCTAAACTGGCTGCTGAAAGAATTACATTTTTGTAAAATATCCAGCACATCTTGCATCCAAAATAAGAAAATACTTTAACTAAAATGTTAAGGAATATTGCTTGCTTTCAGATTTGCCCCACTGCTGACACACAACATCTCTAAACCTCTTAAACTATGGCTCGGATATGTTTGTCATTCTGCCAAAATGATTTTGCCAACCCTTGAAAGTGAACTACAAGTTTTCATGAGAAAAAAAATTGCATTAAGAGGCTCTTAGTGGCAGCTGTGTTATATTTTGCTCCTATTATTTGCTCTTATGGGAAAAACCTGGTTGCATAAGTAGGAGTTTGATAGGCATTCTATTAGTGATGAACTTACACTAAACTGAAACAGTGAAGAATGTTTATGAAGATACACAATAGTACTCATACCAGTCCTCAAACAATCTAAAGTGTTATGACAATAATACCACAGGCATGTCGTGTTTTTTAGTATTTTGTATTGAAAAGTTCAAACAAAATGCCTAGAAAGACTAATGGCCATGTTCCTATTTTAGGGTATTTTCTACCCATGTCTGCACTGTAGTGATTTCTGTGGCACATGTTCTGTTGTTGGCGTTTTGTTCTTAGAAGCACTTACCTGGTCAGCAGAGGAGATCTGTCCAGTCAGGAGTGGGTCACAGTGATGGTACAGAGTGAACATGACAATCCCACAGCTACCCGCACAGCTCACAATGAGACACAGCCCAACCTGATTCACAAATACGGCCCTGAACACAAAGGACACATATAAAGTAAGCAAAGCTCTTAAGTTAAATACCTGAAGAGAAAAAAAACACTTTTACATGTGTGTCAGGTTTTTTAAAACATGGGATAAAGATCGCATTCAGCACATGAAAGCTCTTCAGAAGCTGCTGTTAGAGAAAAGGCAGATGATGTAACCTTATCTCTCCCAGATAAGAGTTCTTCATCCACCTTGTGAAATTTCCAAGTTGCTGACAGCCACTTGTTTTTGTGAACCACAGGAGTCAGTACTGTACTTAAAAAAAGCTATCCAGTTATTGAGTTTCCTGAGAAGGAACCCTCCATTTGAGAGGTTCTGCTTCACCTGGTGTAACTTACGACTGAGAGCAGTTTGAATGAATTAAAAGTAGCTTGTGTGCAAGTAACAGGATGCTGAGAGAGTGCTTTACAGTATGTCAACTGCTTTGTGCTGTATCCCTTCATTTGTGTTCAGAATGCAGGCTACCATTGAACCCTCACTGTTGCAAATCACTCCAAAAGAAACAAAGTAAAAGGTGTGTTTTTGCACTCCGGGAGTATTTGCTCTTCTCGTGTCTTTGTTAATTCTTGTGAAGTGCATATGTAGTTCCTGAAAGTCTTTAAGTAGTGGTGATATCTACTTTGAATTTATCGCTGTTCACACTTTCCAGCCTTAGTGGTAAGGCCAGCAGAGAGCCAAGCCTGATGTCATGGTGGATGGCTACTACAAGGGAGCGCTGTTCTGCTCACCATTGCGCCTGCCTCTCTGTCTTACAGGAAATGTAGCGCTGCACCTGGGCTTGGTTCACTCCATACATAGACAGCCACAGCATGGCCCCCCCCACCACTAGGCTCCAAAAAGTGTAGCGCCTCCTTGGGTCGAAATCGAAACTGCAGAGTAAAGGAAAGAAGCAGTCAAGACACAGAGAGGAATGCTTTCCAAGATAATAATAATCCTTATACTTGTATAGCACTTTTCTGGACACTCTACTCAAAGAACTTTACAGGTAATGGGGACTCTCTCCTCCACCACCCATATGAAGCCCCATCTGGATGATGTGATGGCAGCCATAGTGTGCCAGAACGCTCCCCACTCACCAGCTCTCAGTGGGGAGGAGAATAGAGTGATGAAGCCAGTTCAGAGACGGGGATTATTAGGATGCCATGATTGGTAAAGGCCAGGGGGAAATTTGGCCAGAACGCTCTTTTCGAGAAATGCCCTGGGATTTTTAATGACCTCAGAGAGTCAGGACCTCAGTTTTACATCTTATCCGAAGGATGGCGCCATTTTACAATATCATGTCCCCCTCACTATTCTGGGGAATTAGGACCCACGTAGACCACTGGGTGAGCGCCCCCTGCTGGCCCCACTAACACCTCTTCCAGCAGCAACCTGTTTTTCCCGGGAGGTCTCCCATCCAGGTACTGACCAGGCTCACTCCTGCTGAGCTCCAGCGGGCTGCCAGCTGTGAGTTGCAGGATGATATGGCTGCTGGCTAAAGATGGGTCCATTATTGTGCATAAACAGGACGCAATATTATCAGGCACCCAAATTCAGTCTTCTGTCATCTGAGAAACAACCCAAATGAACTTGCATAACCTTAATACTTTTAATAATTAAATTTGTCTTATCTGTCTGTTGTTTTGCAGGAGGATAGAGGATTTGCTCTTACAAACTGTTTACAATTCAGCCACCATAGGTCATAGACATTGTGAATGAGCGTTCAATGGATGGTGTCCGTTCAAAAGCCCCCAATATTTTTCAGCATATTGTTAAAGCAGGTGTGAATGTATATTTGCCGTATTCTTGTTAGGAGAATTATCATAAAATTGTGCATTCATTGCTAATTAATTATTCATTATAATTAATGAATTATTAATTAACCCAGACTCCATCATAAACTTATCTGACGTAGATAAGATTATGTTAATCGGTCATGTAACAACATTTCAGTGAATCATCACATAAATGCCGTTGAGTGGAAAAACTTTCAAGCTTTCATGTGACTCATTTTTAATTAAAGGAAATATTTTTTTTTACAAAACACTGTCAAGATGAAAAAGGCAGAGACTTAATAAAGTTTTCTATAAGGGTGAAATATGCATTTATCGAGAATGGATTTGACACATTTCATCATGGAATGGAAAGGTTTCAAAAGCTTTAACAGCCTGTCACCACAAAGTTTCTGGCAAAATGATAAATGTAATGTCATACAAAACATGTTTGTAAGACGTTCTGCTCAGAATAACTGAATGAATTTGGTGCCCCACAGTCACAGAGATTCTGTTTCACTGGATGTACAGTAGAAAATGCTGTAAATACTGTCATTAGGAGAAGTGCAATATTACTGAACGGACCTTCCTGAAGCTGAGGGTTAGCTACATAAAAAAATATGGATGTTTGGTCTAGCAAAGGTCTTAGAAGATTATATTTTTTTTGTCTGCAATGCAGGTCCTGGAATTGGATCACTAAACTAACTGGAGAATATCTGAGAGTGTTAAAATTTCAACAATACAAGCTGTGTTCCCTGCTTACTGAACATTTTGTGGAAGTTCAGAAGCTATGTCTGCCCTCAGACAAGCACTGTTCTGTGTGTGTGCGTGCCATTTGTGCATGTCTTAGTATTGTGTCCAGCACTGGTATTTGTGAGTAAGTCTACATCAAGATCTTCTTACTTGTCCAAATTAACTCGAGAGCTGTTGGCAGCAATTTCCAAAACCTTCGCTGGTCCTCCTGCCAGTGCAGTTCCATGGACTAAGACAGCCAAGAAGCCTGACAGCATGACGATGATCTGAAATACATCTGTCCAGACCACTGCCTTCATCCCACCCTGGGTGTCCAGACACAAACGAGATAGTATCTGTTATTCCCCAGCAAAATCTCACCACAATCTCACAATCCAGCACCCTTGTCCAGTAGGTTTAACCAGAAAGAAAATGTCCTTACCAAAGAAGTATAGAAGGTGCAGATGGCCCCAGTGGACAGGAGAGAGGCCCAGATGTCAAAGCCAGTGACTAAACACAAAGGAGATCAAATTAAATATGGCATATGGTCCTTGGAAACTAATGTGATGATTTTTGATCGGGACATGTGGAACTTTCTGTATATTTTGTTAGTGGCAAAGCACTGTGTTGTATTGGCAAAAAATTTCAAACAAACCAGTTTTGTTCATTATCCTCCAGTGGCTAATGTTCTGGGACTAAACCTGGGCGTGCAGGAACAAACAGAATTATTACAAAACTGAATAACATGCATTTAGGCTTTCATTTTCCCAGCTTCTTATTTTTTCTTTCTCCCGTTCTTCTTCTTTTTCTGGATGTGAATCTGTGAAATCTGGTGTGCAGAGACAGGACCTGCCACAGTTCAGGAGAAGATTTTGTGAAAAGAAGACCAACTTGGGAGACCCAAAACAGCAGAGCACAGCAGACAGAACGCAGAAAGAGAGAGCCTCCCACTGGGTCAACCCAGGGAAAGCTCTCATCCAAGGGCATGTTGTGCTCTATGATCCAAGCAGTGTGGACTTGAGCCTGTGTCAGGTCACTAGCTGACTGTGACTGGGATTACTTAAGCTGGCTAAGAGCTGCCAGGGGTAGGGTGAAAGTAATTGCCCAGAGCTCTCTCAGCTCTCAGTGGCCCTGTGACCTCCCGGGCACCTGCAGGCACACAATGTTGTCTTCTAGGTAACAATGGAAGGCTGTGCTGCCTTTGACTTGTAAAGATGAGCCGCTCAAGGCTGGGCAGCTAGGCGTCTAGCAACACTTCCTCATTCTTCCCTGTGTGCAGTTGCAGGTTTCAGGAAGTATGGAAGAAACTGTCTTTGTCGCTCTCAGAACAGTAGATGTACTGGGATAAGCCGATTGGCTGATTGCCTGTGATGGATAATACAGGAATGCATCCACATCCTCATGCCAGTGTTACATTATCATTCTGAGCCTCATTCTCCAATTAAGGCAAGGCAGCACATGACCAGCCACGGGGGAAAACACATTGTGATCTTACCTTGATTAAGGATCAGAGCTGGGGCATAGATCACTATTCCAGTGTACAGCAACTGTGGAGATAAATTAGAAATACAATACAGACATGTAACGTTAAATACGGGCCTACAAAAGAGTGGTAATAAAAAAATAAGGGATGTTTAGGTGCACTTTAAAAAAGGAGATGGGTTCTTTGGTGCATATTAGGTTTGTCAACAGCTTCATCAAAGCAGACCACTTTGTGTCAAAGGTACCAAGAGGCAATGGCCTTTGCTTCTTCCTTCTGCCCAGCTGTCTACAAAGTGGGTACCACATGATAATTGTGATGTATAAAGTGAGGGTGATTGCTCTGTTCTTCAGTCACTCTTACCGTGGCTATTATAAACTGGAAGTTTCCAAGCAGCTGCATGTTTCTGTTAAACCTCATCTTCAGATACTGGAACACAGAACAAACAGCCTGGCTCATAAAGAGGACTGGCAGTAAAAACGAACTGTTTTCCAATCCACCTGTTTCTAGGGGCTGTGCCTGTCACTTCTGATGTGGAACTTTAACAAGTGAGTTGCAAAGTTCTATCATATTAACTGTTGTTTCCCAGTATTTTATTTGGCACAATGCAAGTGCAGTTTGCAGCATACTTGGTGTTCGTAGTCAGAACAAAAATCAACAAGCCCTAGCAAGAAAAGGTCTCAGCAAAAACGTTTTAAAAAAGCATAATATTTTTAAAGCAGACACTTTCAATATTCACAGGAGAGACAGATACTTATCACCAAATAACACAGGCCAACTTAACCAAGACATTAACTACATTTTTGTATTAAAGGGACACTGATAAATTCCAATAAATCAGAAAGTAAAAGGAGACCTGATAGAGGAATTAACAAGTCACGGGTATTTAATTATACCTGTAAACATAGTCTAAGGCACTTCAGAATAGCAGTCCTTACTCTCTAAGCTGTGGCAATAAAAAAAGAAATTGGTTTCACTCACTTATTTTTATCAACCATTATCTTACTGTGGCTTCAAACACTGTGTCTATCTCTGCGTGCAGAAGACAGCAGAATTACAGTAGTAATATGTGCTTTCAGGATCCGAGATCTAGCCCCAAAGAGATTAAATCCTGTGTGTACTTTTTACAAATTTATAGTTTCATTTTACTGACCACTAGATCTGGAAAAACATGTTTAGAAAAAAGTTCCATTTAATTCCCTAAGCACTTCTGATCTGAAACAGCACAGAAACCTACAAACCCAGCAGTCCTCCAGAATGAATGTTGTTCAGACAGGGCTAGATATGTCCAAACTCTTGAGCCTTGGTTTAGCAAGAATTTACCACCTGGTTCTTTTTTTCTGCCTCTAGCTCCTGAAAGCATGGAAGTTGTTGTTTTTTTTTTTGTTCCCTGTGGATCAGCCACTAAGCTGCATAATGAAGGGATCTTAAAGTTTCCCAGAACCCTGACCTGGTTGGTGCTCGTGATCCCAAGGCGGTAGAAGACTGGAAGAAAGAAGTAGGCTGTAATGAAGGAGTTGCAGGTCTGACCCACACACATGTACAGGAACACCATGCCATAGCGATAGGCTTCGGTGGGCACTCCCAACACCTGAACAGCCGACATGAAACTGGCACAGAGGGACAGCCCAACGGGAACAGCAGGCATCTGTCTCCCAGCAGTGAAGTAGCTGGCAGCATCCTGTCTTTGACCACTCTTTTTGAGAGCCTGGAAGAGCCCAATCACCATGGAGACTAGCAGCATGGTGGCAAAGACAGAGTAGTCGGCAACTGTGAAGCCAGTCCTTGCTGGATGGGAGTGTGTACTTCCATTGGCATCCATCACAAATGGACCTGGTGCAGTGGCTTGCTGGTGAGCTGTAGTTTAAAAACATGTGTCATCAATCCATCCATCAATATTATTCTTTTACAGCTCCTTTCGATCAATGGATTCTCTGCACACTTTAAATAAATTAGACATAAGAAAACTGAGTTTTACAAATTCATTGTTACTGTTGACTTCTATAGAAACTCACATTAATGGTTTTCAACACCACTAATTTAACTGACGCTGTCCTAGGGTTGCTTAACCTCAGCTTCACAGACGTATTTACTGCATGTTCAGAATTTCTACCCAAGCCTGAAGACTTTCTGCTTTCATTCAGGCATGAGTTTTGGAGGAGTCTCACAAGGACTTCGGGTTTGAAGCTAGTAAGCAGTTTAACTGCCTGGCTGGGCTTGTAGAAAGGGCTCATGAAGACATCTAGTTTGAAGCTCACAAAGGATCTTATGCTTTTGTTTGGTTTGGGGATGTTAGTTAATTTCTTCTCATACTCTAATATAAAGAGCACTTACTCTTTACCTTATTCTTTTAGCTGTTCTGTTCCTCTGTCTTACCGTGACATGCCTATCAACGTTCTTCTATACGACACCATGTTCCAGGCTGTTTTGCAATGCAAAGCATCAATTTCAGCATAGTTCTCTTTGATGAAGGCCTAACACAAACATCTGAAGCTAGGTAGACTTGAACGCATTACAACACAGCACACAAGCAAAACTAGAGGTTTAAAATAAAAGTTCTAATTAATTTAAAATGGCCTTTTCTGCAAAACTCACTAATTTTAGGTCTTACTGTTAGTATTTATTTTGTGTACACTGAATTTAATCAATTAAAATATTTAGCACCTCAAATGAGCCAGGTATAATACAGAGTGGCTTTAACATCTTTACACTATATCTTTAGTCTTCATCTTCAGAAAAAAAAATGTTTCAACATGTACAACAAACTATATCATTTCATGTATTAGTGGCACAAAATACACACAAAAAAAACACCACGATGTCATGTAACTCATCTCCTTGTGATAAATGCATAATCATGGAGAAAATTTGAAAAGGGCAAAATTCTGATTAAACAAAGCCAGATGTGAAATTATACACCTGAACTAAATGCATTAAAAGTGCAAAATAACAACTCCATACTCACACCTGCCTTTTCCTCTGGGAGATCCTGAGGTTATGTACATGCGACCCCTTCCAGCCTTTCCTGGGAAGAGACAGTAGTGAAGAGTTTGTCTGGTGTAAGATGAGCTGTAGAAAACAGGAATGAGAAACACAGAGGAGGGCAGGAGGGGTAGGAGGAGACTGGTTAACATTTGCAGGGCCATTCCCTGCCTTCATGATAGCTTGGCTTACACCCATGTCATTTTCTCTATTAACCTTTTCCCATGCAACTGCAGCTTTTTGAAAGTACATACCCTGCAACTAGATAACTAATACTGATGCTTTCACAGTACAACAGCAGAATTATTTAATAGAAAGAGACTGGGGAAATCAAAACATGTATTGCATGGATTATTATGTCACTTCTATGAGGTGTTTATCATTATTATACTTTTTAAGTTGTTTTATCTCTTTGTTTACAGCAGAAACCACATTCAAGCCATCACTACAGGTAATCAAGGCAGACATCTTCAGTGCATCTTTACTCATTTTTGCATTTGTAATATCAAATTTCATTCAAAAGGACCATTTATATACAATGGGCAATAATTCGTTACACACAGTTTGTGCAGATGTTCTACTCAGTAACTTTTCAAAATGTATTATTATGATTGAATTCAAATTAATACTTTGGGAGGGATCTGAACCATAGAACAATAAAATTGACTTAACTCTAGCCAGGTGTTCCCAATTTGCAATGATTGAGGACATTATTGCTGTCTTTGCTTTTATTCAACATATTCATGCTGATCAAGACTGTGCCACACACCTGTGGAAGACTCGATACAACAGTTATTTCATACACTGCTGAAAGCAAAGATTAAAGGCTTAACCAGAGCCTTCTCATTCCAACTACCTGTGAACCTTTTTGGACAGAAGCCAGCTACAGTATAGGAAGGTTTTCAGCCTGGTTTCAGAACTGTGTGAAGCAACAGAGGAATTTGGGAAGTTACAGCTTTTCCCAAAATAATCTTAAATGACTTACTGCACAAATGCAAATACAACTACCTCCGCATTCTTGAAGTAGGAGGAAAGGAAACGCTGGATACATTTTTTTAAATATTTGCTTCCTTCAGTTACAAATATAACACTACAATCTGACTAAGGATAAGTTTGCAGTTTCTAACTTAAAGCCTTTACTATAATTGATGCTTCTTGTGCTATCAGTCACTACTACTTTCAGTTGCTATTACGTCTGTTCGAACAGAAAAGGCTTCTGAAAAGACTGGTTGATGCTCTCTGCCCAAAACCATTCCAAGCTGCCGTTTGGTGTGCTGTAGAAGAAAATCACGTGATGCAGTGGACATAACCACTCGTAGAAAAAGGCATGGTATGAAGAAACATTTGAACTTTTCAGTGCTGGCAGAATCAAAAGATAGCTAAAATCTTTAAGCAGAATTGGCAGCATTCCATGAAATGTCAAGCTGCACTGGAATGCAAAACTTTGTTCAAAGCAGGAGACAGAAATATTCTACTCCGCTAAATATGCATTGACATGCTTATAGGGCTCTTCAGTTGACGGGTTGGAGTCGTCTGGCCTAGACATTCAAGTTCTGCTTGAAATTGCACTGAAAGCTGGGTAATGTTCTTTCACGATTTTATCTACCACGGCGGAGTCAAAACAAGAGAATGGCCCTGAAGTTTCAGAAAGGAGTTGGCTTACTTCAGAATTTCTGGGAAAGGGGACTGGCTTTGAGATAAATGCAGTCTCTGGTACTGAAGCCAAGTGGCTCTGCATTCCGAACTTCACACAGGAAGTTCGTAGGGGAGCGATTAAAAACGTGGTCTGAGCAAGGGAAGGATAGCTTTGATTGGTGCACATCTCGACTCTGCCTGCACCCTGCCTGCCGCTCACAGACGCAAAAGAGCAAAAGGAAACCACAACTTGAAAACCTGCACAGAGTGCAAGGAAAGAAGATAAATACTCAGAAAAGGCCACAGTGTGTACTTCTAAATTTAACTAGTTCATACTCTGCACAGTGTATTTTAGTAAGCCAGGCAAGAGTTGCGCAAAATGTTTACGTCATTGTTAGAGAAACAGGCTAAGTCCCTTCTTTGAGGATATCAGTAATGCTATTCAGTGGGAGCAGCCCCAGTGTCCGGAGGAATGTTCTGGAATTGAAAACCTTATAGGTTAGGACAAGTTTTCCTCCTTTTCCCCGCATGTGGAATTACTATCTGCTGACTCGGGCCCAACCAACAATTCTCAAGTCAACGCCACAGTGCAAACGGACAGCATGAGCTCTGAATCTTACACCTATACGAACATAAAAAAGACTGAAAACAAGACTCCATGTCCATGATATTATGAAACCATCCCCCCTTCCTATTCCCTATTCCTTTTAGGATTTTATATACTCCTTTGTTCTAGACTCTAGATTTCATGGCTTTGCTCTTCCTGTATGTCATCGTGCTTTGCACTATTTTGCGTATTGTAAAAGCTACAGTTAGAGTTAGCATTGACTGTTGGAATATGATGTTCTTCCGTGTCGACAGGGTTACTGAAAAAGGGGCAAGGACACCCCGACTGACTAAAGCCCACCTTGTACCGATGGCACTTTGCCAGGTGTATACTGCCACCGAGGGAATGACCCACCCAGGCTCCAGCCAGTGATATACACACACAGACCTCGACCAGCCCACTTCCACCCATTGAACCCCTTCAGTCTCTGTAACAACGGTCTTCTGGTGGCAAAGTCCCCAGTTCAATTCACACTGCAGTTGCAGAAGCAACATCATCAATCTCTCTTATTTCCAAAGCATCCCATGGTGACTCACGGCCCAAGTGGTCAACTGAAAAGAGGAAAACAGGGCCCAGTGTCCATTCACAAAAGATGCCATTAGTAGGAAGTTAGTTTTAGAGTGACATGCTTCATCTGTGAATATTGTGAGGCGAAAGTCATGAGAGAGTGCACAGGCTTTGTTAACACCTGCAGCAGCTTACAGTGATGGACAGAGCAGAACCGTTCATTTTGGGGTTCGGACCATATGGCTTCTCCTGTTGTCTCTCAGCATTGTTTACGTACAAAGTGGGAGGGGAGAAACAGGCTGATGCTGACGGTAAATGAAGCCCGGAAACGGTGCTTCTCTGTGGGTAGTTCCAAACAGGAAACCATACCACTCACCTCGCCTACCCCTTCAGAACACGCAGATACGCAAAGGAACTCAGACAATCTACTGACTCTAGCACTAAGCCAAGAGAACTAAAGCTTACATGGATTATCAACAGCTCACCCAGGCTGCCCCAAAGAGAGACGCTCTGTGAGGTAACTCAACAAAACCCTTTCCTCTTTGTTCATCCTGTAGCAGGGGAGATGTGGGGGGGGGTCTCGAGTTTCTGTTGTGGGCCAAATAGTCACGAAAAAAAAATGTAATCTCTTTGACCAGTGGTTTAGAAAAATCAGGTGGATGAGGGTTAAACAAAGCAGACCCTTTGTTTGGGAAAGATGAAAAGAACGGGAAGTGGACATTCCACTTCACTCTCCTGCTGGGAACAATGATTCTCATCTCCGAGAATTCAGACTCCAGGTGCTGTAGGTGAATGTAGGTGGAGTATTTCTAAACACTCTTGGATGTAAATCTGATAAATGTGTTCCTTAGTCTGTCAGGTGCATTTTGAGCAGTGCAGCATATTAAATACATGTGGAAAAATGCCAACAAACATTTATGATCACATCTTTCTCTACCTACAAAGGTGATGTGTATTCACGATTCTCAGCAGGTTCATCAATGCTTTTTGAAGTTTCTGCATGACAAGAATCTTCCTTGAACTGCATTGTTCCTTTTGATTCACAGCTAAATGCTCTAATATCATTGCTGCAGGATTCTGAAAAAACTGACACCCCTCAATGTTGCTGCTGTTTCAGTTGTAGCAATATGCTGACTAATTTTCTGGGTTTTCACACAAGCTTTTTTAGATTTTGTTACTGGTTTATTTTTCAGCTAAAAAGGTGTGCGGGAAATAGAGAAGAGACCAAGAATAAATTCAATGATGGGTTTAGTGCTTTAGATCTATTTATATCTAATATAATCTGAGGTGATTTCTGTCATTGTAATGACTTATGAATTGCCCCCATTTCATTTCCTGCAAATAAATGTTTATGGATGTTGCAAAGAGATCACAACATCTTGGCAATTTGCTGGAATTTGTGTCCATACGAGGACTTTGGTAAAAATCTGGAGGAATATTTCTGGGCTTTCATTATCTTAATTTTAGTATAGGATTTAATCAATATATGCTCTTCAAAGCAGTAACAACAACAAGAAGGGGGTTTATCTATTCATATTTTTGACTTGTGATCCTTTGGTTGGACATTCAGGTCAAAAGCTCACTAAATGTGACAGGGGAGTAGGACCAAGTGGTGGAAACTGGCTTGAGCCTGAACTACTGCACTCAGTCTGATTGTTCTAGAAGCTAAGTACTGCATGGCCTAGAAAACTCAGCACAGGAACATGAAGCATTTAAGCATATTTCATGAATTAACTGACCAATCAGTGGATTACTTCAACATATTGTTACAGATGTGGGCTGTGACACGGTTATAAAATGGGGAGGTTACTAATTCAGATAATAATCAGGGTCTGACACCAGCTTTTTATGCAAGCAAATAATAACTTCACCACTTTTTATGAACTCTACTGTAAATAACACCACTGTACAACACCCAATGTTACACAACATACACAAGTTAGATTGAAAGGATACGTACAATTCAGTGAGTTTCAGACTCCAATGGTTAAAAGCTATTGAAGATCCCAGAATTCTATCCTTAGACTCTAAATACACAAAACACCTTTATAGGCCATAGAGAGAGAACTTGTCTCCTGACCAGAACTAAATTTCCCTGTCCAAATGGGAGTTATTTTATTTAATTTACATAAAGGCATCCCTAAAATAAGAGATGTTTTTCACTTTTTTCTGCAATTAAGGAAATCAGAATTTCAATACAAATAAAACAGTAAATGTCTTCTTTAATACAATTCAGAGTCAGGAATGATTTCAGAACTCAAATCACCTGGACAGAATCTGGTTTCAAGTTGAATTTCTCTTGGTGATGTGCGTGATGATGGGTGATGACGATCATTATCTTTCTTCCTGTCTGTTCTCGTTGTATGCCTGTTTCTCTATTTGTGCTCTAGTCCATACCTATGGTAGGTGGCTTAATGACCTCACCCGGAACCTTCCTGTCACAGTTGAATATTTCTGTTCTAATATGCGCAACATAAAGATTTAATAGGGGCTTTATTTAAGCTGAGTAAAGTATTAGGATATGTGTCTTCCTGCATGTTTACATACCCCATGTACCAAGAACGGCTACATAAATCAGCCACACAATATCCAACCCACCTGACTAAGGCAGTCAAACTGAGAAGTGCGCTCAAGCCAATCATTCAATGCAACAATATCTAGAGACCCTTTTTCTTCTGATCCTCTCATTGCACTGTCCTATAAAGCGCTTTGTGCTGTTCATTATTAGATAAAACAAAATGTTTTTTTTTTAGTGATAGGTTTCTTCATGGGAAAACCTGAACGATTATACTCAGAATTTTTTCAAGGACGACTCATTTAAGAAGAGAAAGGGGGATAACCAGAATTCTACACTGTAGTTTCAGTTCACAAAAAAAGAAAATATCTTTCAGATTCATGACTCATAATTCAAAGAATTCCTAATACAGTCTCCCCCCGGCTACTGAGCTACACACAAGATTCTCGCAAGTGCATACTTCTGATATTTACTCAAACAGTAGCCACATTCATTTTCATACATTTGTGTCATATTAATTAAATTAGACCTGTCTCATTTAGTCAGTAATTTGATCACAAAACCCAACCTTTGCCCGCAACAACATGTAGGTTTCAGAGCTTAAAAATCTTTAGGTACTGTAGATTGCATCCTTATATTGGCCCTGGTGGATATTTTAAAGTTATGGTTGTTTTGTTTTTACTCAAAGGTTTTGTTTTTAATCAAATGTTTAGCTTGTTTTTAAGTCATGCTAATATCAAGAACAGGAACAAAGCATCCTGGATAGCTAAAGTGATCCTTACACTAAAAATCTTAGAGTGGTTTCTAAAAGTCAGGAGAAAAATCAATGTCCAGTCAGAGATGGTCTAAAACTTTTGCAGTGGTATTTGTTTTTCTCATTCCCTTAAAATATTTGGTGATCGCTTTGTGTTATCCAGAGAACCGTAAAAGTTTGCTTCAGCATTCTATCACAAGATCATAATAAATTGTAGTAAAAAAAAAAAGAGGCAAATTCATGGTACGTCACAGAAAGGGATGGTATAAAAAAAATTAGAACTCATTGCAAAAAGACTGAAATTTTGGTTCAAGATATGGGAAAATTGTGACCACAAAAAACACAGCAGCTAGGTCCTTTTTTGTTCAAATGTGCTTTTCCTTTGATTGAGCATTTAGTGATGGCTCATAGTTCTGCCTTTCGTCCCCATGTTTGGATTCCCTCCGAGCAGTCTCGTGTCCCTCCTCCTCCCACACATGCTCAGAGACCAGCTCTGATCAGCTGTTTTATCCATATGTACCAATGCAAGGAGTCACAGCGCAGACCAGTGAGGGTCTGAGAGTAATTTAATTGGGTTGAAAAACACCGTTCCTGGAGACAGTGAAGGAGACACCCACAAAGTGTGTTTCCCACGGTGCCCCAAACTACAACAGTGTTACAGAGGGATATACAGTCCATCTCACCTTGAGCCACATGCTTTCTGCCTTGCCCTCACCCTCACTTAGATAGAGGGCTTTCTGATAATGGAAGGATGGCTATTTTAGTGATTTTTATTGCCATTGAATAGGTGACGCATTTGGGATATCAGTGTGGTATCAGCTAATATTACGAATCATGTATAAAAAAACCACAATAATACTGATGTAATTTAAGGTAAAAGTGAGTCCAGTACTCAGTTATTCAGTTCTCTTGTAATGTGTAGTCCAGTCTTATTGCAATGAGTCATCAGCCTCCTGCTCGATTTCTTTAATCAGGAGCTCCACAGAAGGCTCACGTATTCAGGTCAGCTTTCTTCAGTTTGCACAGATGCTTTTTTTAAGAAACAGAGAGTGGCACATGTGGTGAACGACAGAGGAAGAAGCAGTTACGAAAGAGGATGAGTGAAAACAGCAGGTGACAAACTTAAAACTTCAAACCTCTGCATAAAAACTCCCCCACCCCCACCCCACAGCAGTGGTCTCCATCTTTTGATGACCAGTCCTCCAGAACCCAGTTTCTCTCCTGCTTCTGTTCTGTCGTCAACCCTACAAACCAACCAAGCTTTGACACTTCAGGACTGTGAAAATGAAGAATCACTTCCTGCACATCTATGACACATCACAACATTTTTATGATAAAGAAACTAGTCAGTTGATTTCAGAGAGGTGATGAGAGAAACAAGGGTTAAGGAGCAGATTAGCAAGCAGACTCTATGCAAAACTATACAAGCACAGTTTAAAAGACTCACCTCTGCTCCTGTGCAAATAACTTTGGTGAGGCTGGAATAAAAAAATCTTTAATACGTCCTTAAATAGCAACATTCAGCCAACTCAAAATGTCACAAAGACATTAGATTTTGAGTTTTGTGTACTGTATCAGTTGTTTTTAATTATTATTTAATATGAGTTGATTTTTTTTTTAATCAAGACCTGTTCATGGAAAGAGAAGTGATACTTAAGATGCCTCAGAAAAAAATAGTTTGCAGTAGTTCATTTAAAGTTGATGTCTCACTCCAGTCGTCTTGACCTTTTCTGTTATAAGCTTTTTTTCTGCGCCGATGGGTTGGTTTTTTCTTGCCTGTTTACAAAACCATATGCTCCACTTCTGAAGCAGCCTGCTGATGCACAATTATACTGTTTGACCCATTTCACGTCTTTTTTTCCTAATATTCTCCTTCGTGATGCAGGCAGCACATGAAGCAAGTGCACATTCTGTTGCTTGATTCCTGCCCCCAACAGGCAGCATATTCAATCTGTCACTTCAAAATAATTGACTATTAATGATTTATGAAAATTGCTGAAGTGGTACATTTAGGCAAATCGCTGGTTTGACTGAATTAAGTGCTCATGTCAGCAGAAGGACCTCTTGACCCTAGAGGAGTGCCATTGTACACCACTAGTTTAATAACTTCAAAGCCAGTGGAGAAGGAAAAAGTTCATTCCACTCATGTGCAAAGTCTGCCTCCTGCTAGGAAGAATACTTGTTTTTGACTCGGGGTTGCGTTTGTATGAACTTTGCATCAGGAACAAGCTCCATGTTTAGGGTAACAGTACCAGAGGTGAGAACATCTCAACACCAAAACCCACACTGTGCTGACACATTGCACACATTTCCTCAGCTGTTCTCTGCCTGGAGAAAAACAACTGCAGGGGATTTTTGTTATGAAAGCACAGGGGATGTCTGCCATATTTGTTGTGCTGAAGAGGAGCTCCAGCAGATCAGATGCTTCATGACAACTTAATGGCAAGATTACAGTATTTTATTCATGTAAACCAAAATCTCTTTCTTAGAGTTCGCTTTTGTGCTAATTTGTGATGAAAGTCTGCAGGTGAGAGAGGAGCTGACCATTATACAGTAAGTCACAGAGGAGGGATCTCAGCCAGATCCTTTTGCTACCAGCAGAAACAGAAAATGACAAACTTTCTACACTCCAACTGTTTCCTGCCACAGGGACACTTTGTTGAAACTGAGAGTTGAGGGGGGGAAACCGGAATGCAGCATCATAGTTTCATTTAACTGTTAAAAAACCCAAGAACTTCTCATTTATTAATTGTTTCATTATTCAGACAACTCTAAACAACCCCTACCACTCCCCCAGCTTATCACAAGATAATTTGGGTTCTTCCTGCAAGTTTCACCTTCATCTCAGGAATACCTGAAGACAGTAAGAATCAAACTCAGTCCCCACTCAGGGGGAACAATGACATCATAAAGCCAGTTTATGACAACACTCTACCACATGACACTAGTAGGTTACTGTAGCCTTCACAGCCCTAAACCATGTTAGGGTGCCATCATCACGATGATTCCAAAAACATGTCATGGAAATAATTATGGTTGAAGAAGGAGTCACACTGGCTTTGATAAATTAGTCTTTTAAGGTTGTGGATAGGTTATGCATTCTTTCGACTAGAATTGTTGTTTTAAGTGACAGAATTAAGCAAATGGTATATCACAAAAAACAGCAGCCAATACAGGAAATAACAGATTAGGGATTAATACATAAAAGATTCTAGTATATCCACAAGCCCAAGATAACACATGGATTGTAACTGTGCACATGAAGCCAGAAAAGAGTTTTCCCAACTGGGAAGGGAGAAAGTTCAACAGAACAGATTCTGCCTAACTGATATGACACCAAGAGTATGATGCAGTGCCCTTCTCAGAAAACCACTGTCCTATCCCTCACTTCAATTCTGACTAGTGCTGTAGCTCTAGTAACAGACCTGCACTCTTCCAAACACAATGGCTTGCTGTTGAAAATAAACAAAGTGAATCGTTTCAGGAAGTGCTTGCGCGAGGCTGGGGGATTTTCGAGCATTTGATGAGACTGTGGTTTTGGAAACGTGGCAACAGCAAAAGTTGCCCGAGAGCAAATCTGCGTTTTGGTTCCGTCTCCTGACTTACTCTCAGCCATGCACCTGTCTGCCTGACAGGCCCAGAGCACCCCTGCAGTCTGCTGCATGGACCTCCAGCAGGATGCTGAGAACATGCCCCTAGTGAATCGGGAAAGAATGGACAGCCACCGGTCCAGCAGTGGCCCCGGCCTCCAGGTGCACCTGTACCATATTCCGGCGGAGAAAGGGGAGTCGGCGCTTTGGTTCCCCGCCGGACAGATATCGGCTGAGGAGGTCTGTGTTGCCGCTGCCAAGGAATGTGGTAAGACTGCAACCAAAGTGGGCAGAAGGTGGAGCTCTGCCTGTGTTACTGCTTTGCATTTCCCACTCTTATTGCAAGCAAAAGTAGAAGATCCTCTTCTGACTAGTAATTAAGAATGCATATATAATATAATATAATAAGCACATATACGTTTTTGTAGGGACAGCACAATGGCACAGTAGTTTGTATTGCTGCTTCGCAGTGGTGAAGCCTTGGGTTGCTACCAGCAGGGAGTCTATCAGGCCTACTGGTAGTTTAATTGGCTTCGGGAGAAACTGGCCCTGGTGTGTCTGTTTGCTCTTAAGGTGGACTGGTGTCCCGTTCAGGGTGTATCCTACCTTGCGTCCGCTGCTTGCTGGGAGAGGCTCTGACTGCCTCACAACCCTCGATAGGTTGAAGCAGTTAGAAAATGGAAGGATGGCTTTTTTTTTTGTGGATGTCAAACTGGAGTTCTAAGGAATAGCCCATGTATAACGTGATCAGGAAAGCTTGGCAAATGAATGTCTTGTTTGTGACTTGTTGCAAATTCTTATTGCACTTGTTGCACATACAAAACAAAGCTTTTAGAAACTGTGGCTTGTTACCAAAGAACCCCAAGACCATGTCACTGGGGTCTGGGAATCTGTGAATAAGCAGTCAGCTGTTTCTGTTGGTTGTGGGTGCTCGAAACCCCAGCTAGCTGGCAGTATGAGCTGATCTGTGTCTCTTCTCCCAGGTATCCTCCCCGTGTATCACAGTCTCTTTGCCCTGGCTTCTGAAGACTTCTGCTATTGGTATCCCCCAAACCATATTTTCAGTGTGGACGACTACACAAACCTCACCATTCACTTCAGAATCAGGTGACCTACCCTTACTATGCTAGACAGGTGCAACCAACTGTAATTGTTGTAAAAATTGTCTATTGTAATCTTATTAAGCCGGTAACATGAATGATCTATTAACTCAATGGATCGGTCGATAAACTGCCAACTGATATCAGAATCTGTCTCTTGCGCTCATTTAACTAGAGGTGCTGTTCATGCAACATTAATAAAAAAAAAACAATTTTGTTCTTGCAGCTTAAATATAAAATCTAAATTGAGAACTTCACACGACCTTATCTTTCCCTCTATGTACTATCTTGTGATTTTGCCTGCTTATCACACCACTGCTACACAGGAACAAGAACAGCAGAAAGGTTACAAACAAGGAGAGCCCATTCCACCCATACAAACCATTTGCTAGTAGCTAATTTATCTGAGCATCTCATCCAGGCATTTCTTGAAAGAAGGCAGGATTTGTATTGATCGGTGTTGTATATTCAAGTTCTCATCAGAGCCTCGTGTCCATCGCTTCTATGATGTGTAGGCCACAGAGAGCTTACTTTCATTCAAGATTACAATTGCCATTACAGCTTCATAGAAACCGAAAGATGAGGTTATAGTACAGGCTTCAGCCAACAGGAATGAATTTCAAGACAAATTTTGGCTTATTAACGAGGAGGTTTTTTCTGATTCATGTAAAAAATTACTTCTTAAGATTTAATCACTAGCCTCATGGCTAATATAAACCCATGTTAGAATGCATAACAGTGTCCTCATGAGATCACTATTTCCCTACACTAACTTTTGAGACAGGAGTGTGCGTCTCCCTGATTCATGAAAGGGTTTCCCCAGTGTCATCTGAGGAGCGATCATAGAGTAAGCGCTCGTAAATAAATAGCCAACCCTTGTAAGAAGACTCTCCAATGCAAATGTCAAGTGTAGGTGTGATGTGTCATGTACTTTCCTGTTATTTCATTTCTTATATGTTTCCCAGCACATTGAAAGGAATAAGTGTGATTTTGTTTTGTTTTCTTTCCTCCCTGAAGATTTATAATTTCAGGAGTTTGTCAAACATTAATATCGCACAGCTTAAACTGCTCCTATAACAATTTGAAAAATCACAGTATTTTGCCTTTTGGTTTTAAAAGGAACAAAGCTATAAAGGCATCACATAGTGGCAAATAAATGGAACAATTAGCAGTTAGCTAGGCCACCCCAGCACAGATACAGCAGCCTGTCACTGCAATGGAAGACTACATTAAAATAACTATAAGGCCCCTTTGTTCACATCAAATCCAAATCTACTCATTGTTTCCATACATGACAACATGTACTGTATTAGAAAACCAGAAAACCTTTCTTTTTTACAGAATGAGAAATACCTCCTAAGAGATTTTGAATAGAGGCGGCAATTAAAAAGCTTTGGCGGACAGTAGCATAGTCCAGGAGCTGGACAGGGAGCGTCTGCATGCAAAGGAGGGAATCATACCCTTTCTCACAAATGCTATCTGACTTTTTAACAACTGTGATTTATCTTTGTGTTTTTAAGGTTTTTTTTCTCCAACTGGTTCGGGCAGGGAAACAGGAAGTCATATCGCTATGGGCTGGCGAAGAATGGAATCACAGCGGTTCTGGACTACAGTGTCATTGACTATCTCTTTGCTCAGGTACCAAATATCAGTTCCAGAAACAGGACTACTGCAATTACACAATTTACAAGAAAAAAGAATGTACATTGTCCAGCACTATTTAAAAAGTTTTGTGTTATTATAATATATCTTTTTAAGCCTTGGTCAGTGACTTTTTCCCCACTAGAAACAGTTTTTGAGTTTTTGTTATAGGTCCTTCTCACTTTGTTGTTGGGGGGGGGTGGGATTTTGGGTCTTTGCAGACACGATGCGATTTAGTTGCCGGCCAAGCAGGGCTCTCTCCTCCCCTCAGCGCTCAGGAAGAGTGTCTGGGGTTGGCTGTGCTGGACCTGTGGAGACTGGCCAAGGAAAGCAACAAGAGTCTGAAGGAAATCTGCAAGAAAGTCAGGTACAGGACTCTGGCATATATGAAGAGAGGGAGGACATAATGAAGGATGAACTCCTTCTGGGCCAAGAGACGTGTCTCACAGAGTAATTCACATAACAACCATCTAGATCTCCGTTTCCTCGCATCTGGATCAGGGAACCCCATGTCCTGTCTTTGAAGGGCAACAATCATATAATGTAGGCTTTGTTGGTCTTCTGAAAAACATGAGCTGCACCAGACCTGAAGACGAGGAGCTACATGAGCACCTCCTGCACAGGTCTGAAGCTGCTGATGACTTAAAGAGATACACAAACTCTGCAGGACTTGTCCTTGAGGATCAGATCTGGGAAGTCCTGATACAGGTAGACTTGGCACATCTATACAGGAGGCCATGTGATTCCCCGATACAGGTAGAGCCAATGTAAAGCCCTTATTCAGGTAAGCTTGGAACATTTACAGTATATTGTAGGCAATGTGAGATCAATTTGGCCTGTTTGTCATTTCAGCTATAAGTCATGCCTACCAGAAACACACCGGCAAGAGATCCAGCAGCTGAGCCGTCTGGCTCGGTACCGCATCCGCAAGACCCTGAAGCGCTTCCTGCGCAGGATTGGCCGCTGCCCGGTGGGCAGCCACAGCCTGAAGCTGAAGTACCTGATCGAGCTGGAGGCCGTGGAGCCATCCTACGGCACGGAGCAGTTCCAGGTCCAGGACCCGGCCTGGACGCAGGAGCCGGAGAGGCCCGTGTTCAAGTTCATCCAGGTCTCTGGAGAGGGCGGGATACAGACGAGAGTCAACAACATTCAGGTGGGGGCGCCATTTCGCAGCCCAGCCAGCATCTGCATTTCAGCTTTCTTTAGAAAATGCAATCGTTCCCATATGAATTTGTGAAGCAGTGGAGTGGGATACCCAAGACTACTAATGCACACTGCTGTTTCAGAGAGCACCAGGCAACCTCACTGAGGAACAAGACAGACTCTTCCAGGATCTCCTCTCCATGGCACTCCAGTGCCGTTTCAGTCACTGCATCTAGAACACAGTATACACCACAGTCAAACAAACATTCATCCCCTCTGGCATGGAGGTCTGAATTGGCCATGTGGCTTCTCCTTCTTCTCTGTCCTTTCAGGAATGGCAGACCTTCTGTGACTTTCCAGAGATCATCGACATCAGCATCAAGCAGGCCAGGCGTGACCACGTGCCGCTGGAGGGCAGAGTGGTGACCGTGACCAGACAAGACGACAGGTGTCTGGTACGTGGAACGGGCATTGAAACATGTCCGACAGCCTCTCGGTGCCCCTTGGCTGCTATTCCTCTGGCTCTTGAGCAGTGCGCAGGAACTACACCTGTGACTCTGCACTTGTTGTTGAATTGTGTTTGCATGTTCAGAGCTGCCTACAGATCTAGGATCAGTGCAATCAGTATTGCCTTTCATATATACGTTGTTAAATGCAAACATTTTCTCCATTTTAAAGCAATAAACAAGCCCTAGTATATTGGCAAGTGCCAGGAATGAAAACTTTACCGGTTGAAACCTTTAGGAAATTGAAGAATGTGTTCTAGAAAAAAACAATATTTCATATTTTAGTAACATTTCAATTTAGGGGTGGCAAACAGCATAATTATCAAACAATGAACAATCTAAACACAAAATTCCTGTTTATGAAAGACGTGTGTATATTTTCTTTACTACTCCTGCTTGAATCTGACGTCCGACAAGCTGCGTTTTTCTGTAGCTATGCTGTAGACTAGACTCGAGGTTCTGTTGCTCCAGGGCTCTAGAACACTCTCTCAGCCCACTTCAGATCAAGTTTATCAGCACTTTCAAATCCAGCCTTTTTTTATTGTAACACATCTTGAAGTGATGTGTGCCTAAAGGCACTGTATATAATAAAGATTGCGATTGTCACCTCTGCTCTGTTCGTACAGTGTTGTTGGACGTTAAACAGATCTTAAGGTGGAAAGAAATGCGTTTTTATAAATGGATTAAAATATATTTGATTGCATACAGTAACTGAAAAGTCAAGTATTCAGCCAGGTCATCTGCTTGCCTTCCAGGAGGCCGAGTTTCAGTCTCTGACCGAGGCCCTGTCGTTCATCTCGCTCATTGATGGTTACTTCAGGCTGACGACAGACTCCAGCCATTACTTCTGCGAGGAGGTCGCGCCGCCCAGCTTGCTGCAGGACCTGGAAAGCCGATGTCATGGGCCAATCACGTGAGCCCTTTCAACTTCCTGCTCCCTGAAAAGCAGCCCTTCAGACAAAGTTAAAGTTCCATGACAAAAGCATTTAAACAACAGGCCACAGGTCAATGATTTGGGGCATATAATTTGAGGTCTACACCAAAATGGCAAACTTGAATACATCCTCTTCTCCTACAAAACGTGATAAGAATAGTGGAAGAGCATGGTTTAAGGCAGATCACTAATGCAATTGTCATTGGAAATTAAGTATAGCATTTCCCAGGATAGGTGGTATGAACATGGTGTGCCAGATTATTGACTTGATCCGTCAATGGTGAAAACTTCCCACGGTCTCACTGCATTCTTGTAAATGCGTCAAACCTGACAGAAGTTTGAGGAGAAGTGTCACATTGCTGTGTTCTTATTTTGTTAGGTTTTTGGAAAATTTTAAGTTAACTAAAACTGCTTGACATGTAAATGCGGCAGACTTGCAGCATCACTGCGGAAGACTGGCACAGAGATTGACCTGGACCACAGGCAGAAGAAATATCATTTCTTAAGATCGAAGAGATACGACAGATAAAAGTAATGTAATGCCCACTAGGACAACAAAGCCCAGAACCAGCCCCGCTTCCCGCATCAGAGATGCGTGGGGGATTATTGCTGACTGGACTTTCTCCTTCCCTTCCTCTCAGGTCAGAATTTGCCATCCTCAAGCTGAAGCGAGCTGGGGCACAGGGAGGCATGTTCCTACTGAGGCACAGTCCCAAAGACTATGACAAGTACTTCCTCACTGTTTGCATGGAGGTAAGAGACGTTGGAAAACAAGAAGGTTCTAAAACAGGGAGAGCTGATGATATCCTGCAGTACAGTACAGTGACACAGCATGGAAACCTACAATAAATAGCCATGATTTACAGAGTAAAATAAAAAGTAAACAGCAAACCCCTGCTTCTTTTAACGCGAGCGTGCATTAAAATAAGGGGTTTGAAATTCCTGTACTAAATAATGCGGTCAGAATGCTTTGTGCAAGTTCTACCTATTTTGTACTGCCACCTCCATCGCTAACCCTATTCTATGGACAGACGCCTCTGGGGATGGACTATAAGGACTGTCTGATAGTGAAAGACAAGGACTTCCGTCTCTCTGGTGTTCGGCACTCCTTCTCCACCCTGAAGGAGCTCCTGGCTTTCTGCCAGGGCAGTGAGCTGCTCCTAGCTGAGGTGCCCATCAAGCTCACCATGTGCTGCCCTCCTCGCCCTAAAGGTACAGAACCCTTCCTTCACCTGACTCTTTGCGTCTTTATTCAAACATGTTGGAAACAGATTATTTTTCCCAGTGGTGCTCGTGGCACACGCCACTGAATCTCTCGCAGCATATTCCAGAGTAAAACGTTAGTAATTCTCGTTAGTAATTTGCCTCGTGAAGTTCTGCAAATCTTTGAGCCAGCTGACACTTTGTGTTTAAAAACCTGGTTGGATATTCCAGACAGCACATGCTGACCCTAATTGTGAGCTCTTAAGGTGCTAATTAATGTCATTTCTGATTGCTTGCTTACATTACTCTGAATAAATAACAGCCCTCACCAGCATCACATTTCTGTATAGAGGCTAACAAGATCCCTTTCTTACTTACAGTACATTTGTACAGTTTATACAGCAGGGTATCCTATTACAACTACTATACAACTACTTGATGCAGGACCCTGTGTGCTCCAGACATTGAGCTATCATTTCCAATGTGACAGTTTTCCATGGATATAAGTTACACCTCTTTGACACCTCTAATGGAGCTTTACCGATATCCCTGTAAATAAAAGATAAAGGAGGTGTCAAGACAATTTCCAAGAGGACATCCCCTCAAACAAACCTCAACAGAACCCAGCAGGTCTAGGAATGTGCATTTTGGAATGAATGGACATCCTGTCCAGGGTGTACCCCACCTTGTGCCCATTGCTTGCTGGGATAGGCTCCTGTTCTCCCGTGACCCTGAACTGCAGTTAGAAAATGACTGGAGAGATGGAAACACCAGAATTCTTGTCCACATCTGGCTGTAGTGGACCAACCAACCTTGCTTGAACTTCATTGCTTACTAGGAAACGCAAGTCCAGTTAAATGTTTCGTGTTGTGAAATAAAATAAAACCTCAACTGAAAAAGAATTTGTTGGCTCTCGTTTACAGAGCTCACCAACCTGAACATTGTGCGCAGCAATTACTCACAGGAAGCCCTGGCATCACCCATCCTGCAGAAACGCAAGGCCAGTCATGTCCAGTTCCAGATGATCAAGTATGAAGACCTGCAGCTGGTGAGTCTCGAGAAGCTCCTGGTCTTCTTGGGGAGTGAGGGAGAATGCGGTGGTAGTTTATGCAAATCTGTGCCAAATGTATCTGGGAATGTATCCTGGAAAAGCTTCACAATCAAGAAGCTCCTCCAACCCAGACAAGTTCTCTCATCTTAGAACCCATTCTTTTGAAGGGGATTGCATGATGGGAGTTCCTGGGTTTGACTCCAGCCCAGCGCGTCTTAAACTTTGTAACAGCACAATGTGCCGAGAACATCTCTGGTGTGATTCATCTTGACAGGGGGAGAGTCTAGGACAAGGTTCCTTTACCAAGATCTTCAAAGGGACCAAGACTGACATCCGAGAGGGGGAGAGATACACGACAGACGTTTTGCTAAAAGTTCTGGAAAATGCTCACAAAAACTGCTGGGAGGTGAGCTTTTACTTTGCCAGAGTGAACATTAAAACTACAAGGTGGTAGTAGACTGCCTTGCTATGGATTATTCTCAGCAGGTATCGGGAGGCTCACATTCTTACATCCGAAAGGCTTTTCTGAAACTTCTGGTTCATCTGAAAATTCCTGTAGAAAGGTCTCTTCACACCATCACCCCTTCCTGTTATTTCAAGGGGCCGTGTGTAAAATTGACATTGAATCCTAAAAAGAATTCATGTGAGGCCATGAACTCAGATAAGAAGTAAAGGAAATAATAGCTGGCAAAACACCAAAGCTATGGAGCCATTTGGGTTGGATTGTGTAACCTCATTGTTCACATGTTCATCTAAACAGGAATTACTGCAAATGATGCCATTTAAAGAACATCTTAAAGAAAACTGTATACTATTTAAAACGTTTGAGGCAATCCCCTCTTTCGCTCTATGCAATTTATTCACTTTTTGTGCAGGTCAGGTGAAAAGACCTCTTATTTTACCCTTTTCGCACTGACCTCGTGAACAGCGACTTTCATCCAGGAACTTTTCACATCGTCCCTTTATTAAGCAAGATTCAAGTCTTCCACTTGCTTGTTCTTCCCCACTCACCCTTCCTTCAAAGGAAAAAAAAACACCACACCTAGTAATCGAGTTCAGAAACCTATGAAAATCAGGAATAAGATACTTGATACGTGGGTCTAATTTTAAAAGCACTATTTATAATACTGGGTGCCATCAACCCTCAGATGAGCTGTGAAACCAATGCCCTGACTACACGGTTGGTAAAGCTCTAAAGATATATACAGTATATACACTCATTATCTATATTATGTGGGATGGAACGTGCTATATAAATGCAGCCCTTCGTTTCTTCTGATGGTGATGTCTTTGTTGCCACCTCCCCCCTCAGTCATTCTTTGAGGCGGCCAGCCTGATGAGCCAGCTTTCCCACAAGCACCTGCTCCTGGTCTATGGGATTAGCATCCACGGCACCAAGAGTGAGTCAACTTTGCTTCTTACCCTTTCGTGCAGCAGCTCAGATGAATGCATTTCTGAGCAGTTCATTTTCTCCAAAAAATAAAATAAAAGAGCACATTAGGGACAGCCATGCCGTCACAGATTTCTTATCACCAGAGAACAATTCTGTTTTCACGTAATTTCTTTGATTTCATGAGAGCCTATATCAGACGCAATCATTGTACTGTAATTAAGAGTTTGGTTTGTTTTTTTTCCCTACTTCCATCATCCCAGGAAAAGCCAAAGCACAAATAATACAACAGAGAAAAAGTACAATACTGTGTCTTGGCTATCTAAGTACACTCTAAAAACCACTAAGTACCTTAAACGCTTTGTGGTTTTACCCTTTTCTGTTATGCTCAGAGATTTATAACTACTCATGCATGCTGTAGACTAAGCTTATCCACTCATTTAAGTCTCCCACAAGGCTTGTAAGTGTTTTTAAGTGTATTTACAAGGGTTTATTGAAGCCTCTGTAGATTCGTAGCTTCTCAAGCGTTATGTTAGGGTGCCCCTACATGACCTGCCCATCCAAGAGGTCTTGACATAGCATTTCTTCAAAAGCTCTGACTCAGGAAGACATAGCATAATCCTCTTGAGTGAGTCACTCTTTCAACAAAGCCAAACTGCTGCTTTTGTCCTTCCCTAACCTCCAGACATCATCGTGGAAGAGTTTGTGAAGTACGGAGCCCTTGACTTGTTTCTGAAGAAGAGGCAAAGCTCTGTGTCGGTCAGCTGGAAACTTGACGTGGCGAAGCAGCTGGCCTGTGCCCTCAGCTTCCTTGTGAGTACAGCACATCTGACCTCTCTGCTTCAGGTCACCCGCAGTATCTGCCAGATAGGGACTTCCTGCACTACAGTTTGTAAGACAAAGCTGCGTTTTGAAAATGGAGTAGTTTGCACTTGTAGTAATGTTCTTCTCTGTGTTCAGTGTGTTGCCAAGTAAAACTCAAAAGACTTCTTACACTGAAAGATGCTAAAACTGAAAGACTCAAAGTCAAGAGAAGTTACGCCCCTTCTAATAATGCTCAAGCAAAACCTAAATTTAGAATATTGTGTTAGGGTATGGTCACTATTCCACAGTAAGGACACTATAGCTCATGAAAGTGTTTCATTTGTCTCAGTGCTTTCCTATATAGAGACAAGTTAAAGGGAATCTTCAGTTTTGAATAAGGGAGATTGATAGGATATTTGATCCAAGTATATAAGATCTTAAGAGGTCTAGAACATTTCAGGTCAGGAGACTATTTCAGACTCTGCAGTAAAACAAGGACACAATCACTGGAGCTTGGGATTAAATGGGAATTTAGGAAGAAGAGTAGGAACTGTTTCTTTACACCATATATGGTAGGTATCTGGAACTGGCTTCCCACTAAGACAATGGAGGCATGAACTCTGGACTCCTCTAAAAAGAGGTGGATGAAATTCTAAACTCAACTGGACAATTTAGATAACTTGTTCAATTGGTATTTTTTTGGTACAAGATGGGCTGTTCTCGTGTCTCACATTTCTAGTGTTCTTATGGACATGGTTGGCTTACCAAGCTCTGAAAAACACTTTCCTATAAACCAATGGTCCGTGTGCCATTTTTCTACCATTTTTAAAACATGATTTTAAAATTGCATGTATTTTGTCTTCTGACAAACTCATTAATTTAGAATTGCGGTTTACCACTCACCCCAATGTGTTTCTGCCAAACATACGCCCCCACCACCACCACACTCGAGAGAGAAACAGCCACCCACTTTTTCCTGGTTTTGCTTTGCGTTTTTAAGATCAGAAAAGCTGTTAAAAGCCATCTTTAAAAGAGCCGGGTACCCTTTCATTTCAGGAGGAGAAGAACATTGTCCATGGAAATATCTGTGCTAAAAACCTGCTCTTGGCGAGAGAAGGCGATGCCTCTGCTGGCACTGCCCCCTTTATCAAACTGAGCGATCCAGGAATTAGCCTGGCCATGCTTGGCAGAGACGGTAAGCTTCATGAAGGACTCAATCAACGTGCATCATCTCCGTTACCAAATCTTTTTTCCTATACAAACACCTCAGTTTTTAACGGTGTCTGCAGCAGGGACTCAAGCCACAGCCTGCCAGTCATAAGCCCACGATGCTTTGCTGCTCACTATTTTGATATCTATCCAGAGATGTTATGTTTGACTTGGGTATGTCTTACTGCCATTCTCTCACACTGTGTTTTCCTCCTCTGCAGTGGTGTTGGACAGAATTCCATGGGTAGCTCCAGAGGTGTTGGACTCCCCGGAAAGACGGATGCTCGAGTCCGATAAGTGGAGTTTTGGGACAACTCTCTGGGAGATCTTTAACTGCGGGAAAGTGCCACTTCAAGGCCAGAATCCCCAGCAGGTATGATGGCCTGTGTGTCTGGTTTGCCCTGGGCATATTCATGACCTGATACTACATTACCAACTTTCAGCTGCATTAATTGTAAATTTAAACTTAAACTCATCCAAGTTTCAAGAAAACTACTTGGGATTTGCGTGGGGCTCTGCAGAATACAGTGACTCATGGGCCAGACACTGGCTTGTCTCAGTCTCTCACTGCCCACAAGCTTAACACCGTTAACAGTCTGCTCTTGAGCTGCACTTCACAACAGAACCGAAGCCTGTCTCCCCAGGGCAACTTGGGGGTTAAATATCCAGACTCAAACATGGCGCAGATTTTGTTTTCCCTGTCACCCCCCTGTCCGTTCTCTCCGCCCAGAAGCTGCAGTTTTACGAGAGACGGGAGCAGCTGCCTTCCTCGAAGTGGACGGAGCTGGCCGACCTGATCGCCCCCTGCATGGACTACCAGCCCTGGCTGCGCCCCTCCTGTCGCTGCATCATCCGCCAGCTCAACAGCCTCATCACTTCGGGTACCCGGACAACCCCAGCACACCGCCGCCCCCCGCCTGGACGCCACCGTCCACGGCGGGCACGAGGGGAACCGAGGCCAGAATATAATGTAGCGGAGCTAGTTTGGGGCACTCGGCTGGCTCCCCGTTGTGTTACGCCGGAGACCCAGTTCGCGCCCAGGTGTTGCGGGACGAACCGGCGGGGTGGAGCAGCAAGGGCACGAGCCCGCGCGGAATCGCGACGGTCACAATAACAAGCAAAATAACTACTCACACCATAAAAACCTCTGAAAGGATGCGTAGTGGGATATTTCTCGTATTGCCTCAACACAAGTCACAATTAATGCAATAACAGACTGCTTTTGAGATTTTTATACCATTTCAAGCATTTTTGGTTTATAAAATACATGCACAATGGATCAATGACTTCTGGTATCAGTACTGGGGTACTGTGAATAACTTTGTACCTCACCAAAGGACAGTGATATCTTTGGTGTCCAGGAGGGGGCGAATGTTGCATTGCCAGGATATGCAGTTACCTCCTGAGGTAGTCTTGTTACGTGCCTATTTTTTTAATGACAAGAGCCGCGGCTGGCCTTTGTCACGGGACACAGAGGGGGCACCAACTTGACCCCTTTCTCTCCTTCACCCTCGAACACGAAGTAGCACCTTGCTCTGCTCGTTTTCAGATTACGAGCTGCTGTGTGACCCCCGGGCCAGCACGCTGCCAGAGAAAGACGGGTACTGGAGGAGTCTGAGCGCTCCCTACCACCAGGACCCTTCGCTGTATGAGGAGCGCCACCTGCGTTACATCTCTCCCCTGGGGAAGGTGAAGTCCACTCACTCGACCAACTTCTGCTCACAGCTGTGCGTCAGGCTCAGCTCGGGCCATCATGAGCTTTTTACCACTTGTTTCTTCTCTTGCCCCTTTTGAGTGTCCAGTTGGTCACTTTAATGAAGTAGATCATTGGCTAGCCCGGTCTCATTTTCATGCCATTCGTAACTAAGGCCCCGTGAAAAGGAGAGAATGAATTGGCTTGATTTCTCTGCATTGATTTGAAGAATAATTGCGAAGTCAAAACAATAGACCGGACACTGTCAGGGCATTTTTAGTTGTAATTCTGCTCTGTTTTCAAGCAAGCCGTTTGAAACGGCAGTACAAGCCAGTAACAGATTAGCAATCACAAGTGAGTGCGACGCTAAGGATCTGTGCCTGTGGCTGGAAGGTTGCGGGTTCATATCCCGCAGCCGGCAGAGGAATCCTTCTCTGTTGGGCCCCTGAGCAAGGCCCTTAACCCCACCTGCTCCAGAGGCGCCGTTTAAATGATCAGCGCCGTGACTATGATCAGCACATTTTGCACACATCTATGTATTTATTATTATTTTTTGTCTTTTGTTTTATAACTATTCTGACTTCCATTTTGCTTGTCTTGGGCTGGACTGCTGTAACACATCAATTTCCCTACGGGATTGATAAAGTATTATCTATCTATCTAAATGGCTGACCCTGCACTCTGACCCCCAGCTTCTCTCCCTGTATGCGTCTCTCATGGAGAGCAAGTTGGGGTATGCGAAAAGAAATTCCTAATACAAGAAATCGTATATGGCCAATAAAGTGATCTCATCTTAAATTATTTAAGCTGTAATTATTTAGTCAGCCGCCAGAGGGAGCTACTCACCTACTTGCAGGACTATTCTTCCTATTCAACATATGCATGCAGTAATAATATCTTGATAAGCACTTTCATAGTATATTTGAGAGAGTGAAATAAAAACAATGGTTTGACTTCAGCATTAAAGTATGTGAGCCATCAGATCACTCAGAGTCCGGTATTTATTACAGAACTGTCCAAGTTCATATATGGTTTAATTGCTTTATCAGCCTGAAAATGGCCATTTCCGCTGTAGCTCCAGATAAGGCCCACACCACTAACCACAGTACACCACAACCATTGCATTTGTCCTTAACGCTTGGATTACAAATAAACCTCATTGACGCACACATTAAAGCTGGCTACACAAAAATAAACATATTGCTTTAAATAATATTAATTTAAAGCTCAAGTTCACGTTACTTGTCATTCCCGACATATACAAGTATACAGTGGAACGAAATATCGTTCAAATACAGACAAGACACTGACAGAGACATTTTAGGATACACATAGTGCAAGATGCAGACAGTGCAAAGTAAAAGGCAATGCACAGTACAATATACATAACGCACTGGGGGATTTAAACCCTGTTTCTATGATTGAGGCAGGGTGCAAGTAGATTCCAGAGTGTTGAGGAGCCTGACAGCCTGTGGGACGAAGCTGTTCCAGAGTCTGGTGGAGCCGGCCTGTACACTGCGATAAAAATGACACACCTTAATGTGTTCGAAACCGACAATACTGGGTTCCAACAAAGTGGTTCCTTCTCTGAATTAGAGAAAGGCATGCTTAATAATGTTCGGTATATAAACAACAAAATAGAAAGAAAGAGGGTAACAGCTCTTTCTTCATTAAGACTCAAGACCAGTGGTCACTCAAACCCTCTCAGTAACGGTCACTGGAGACCCGGGCATTAAGGCATAAGGAGTAATGGTTGACAATGCGCCATGTGATTTTGCAGGGGAATTTTGGCAGCGTGGAGCTGTGTCGCTATGACCCACTGGGTGACAACACCGGGGAGCTGATAGCAGTGAAGAGGCTTCAGCAGAATAAGCAGGGCAGCCTGGCCGCCTTCGAGAGAGAGATCCAGACCATCAGCTCCCTGCACTGCGACTACATCGTGAAGTATAAGGGCATCTGCTACAGCACCGGTAAGAGCTCTCTCTGCCTAGCCAAGGCACCGAACTGCACTAAAACGCCTCTTCGTTTCCAATCCCATGAAATGGATATTTAGCTCACCCTCGTTACAAATCAAAGTGCAACACATTCGTATTGAATCTGCTTGTGCTTATATTACAGTTTCTCGTCTCATATAAGCACACGTAATACCAGACTTGCCAGATTTGCCATTCCCAATTCATCTTAAGAATAGGCTATTCAAACTCCAATGTGTTCAGAATGGGGCAGGCAGAACCTGATCAGGTCACATCCAAAAGATCATATTATGCTGGTCTTGGAGTCCTTGCACTGGCTTCATATCAGGTTTCTAGTGACCTCAAAATACTCACGCTTTCCTATAAGGCTCCTGCCACATGGCTGGGCACCTCAGTACCTATCCGATTTATGTTCCTACTCCCCACCCTTCAGCCTTCGCTCACGTAATGCTGGTCTCCTGTCCGTCTCTCAAGCTCATTTGCCAGCAGCCCTATCACCCTGCAGCTCCCAGCTGGCAGCCCACTGGAGCTTAGCAGGTGTGAGCCTGGTCAGTTCCTGGATGGGAGACCTCCTGGGAAAAAGTTTGCTGCTGGAAGAGCAGTGAGCAGTGAGCAGTGCTAGTGAGGCCAGTCGGGGGAGCTCACCCTGTGTGGGTCCTAATGCCCCAGTATAGTGACAGGGAAACTATACTGTAAAAAGGCACCATCCTTCGGATGAGATAAAACTTGTAAAACCGAGGTCCTGACTCTCCGCGGACGTTAAAAATCCCAGGGTGTTATCTCTCAAGAAGAGTACGGGTTTTGCCCCAGTATCCTGGCCAAATTTCCCCCTGGCCTTTACCAATCATGGCCTCCTAATAATCCTCATCTCTGAACCGGCTTCATCACTCTGTTCTCTAGCACTATGGCTGTCTATGCATCATCCAGGTGGAGGCTACACACTAGTGGTGGTGGTGGAGTGGAGTCCCCATTACCTGTAAAGTACTTTTGGATGGAGTGTCCAGAAAAGAGCTATATAAGGGACAGGAATTATTAGCACTCTGGGTGACGGGCCTTCTCTTGCAGCACCCCAAAGCCCTGGAAATCTATCCCCATGGATATCAGAGTTATCTTCCTTGAGCATTTTCAAGCCCAGACTCAAGACCTTCTTCTTCAGAAGGGCTTTTACTTCACTGATGTCTGCATCTGCTCCATTCTCTATTATCTAACCTCTTATTTTTCTTTGTTTTTAAAACCAACCGAAAAGCGCTTTGAGAAACTATCTTTAAAGGCACCATCTATAGCAAAGATTGTTATTATTGGGTTATTCCCCACTTTGTTCACAGAAGGTAAGCAGATGTAACAGAGCTCACCTGGAATGTAACCCAGCAGTTATGAGGGTGACCAGCACCAGGGCTAGAAACCTCTGCTAAATAATAAAGTGTAGAATCTATAAAGCAGGACTGTTTAAAAGGCAAGATAAATGTTCATACTGTATATGAAATGATTTCGAAAAGACGGTCTCACTGTGCCTTGCCTCATGTACAGTGTCAGTATGCGAAGACCTCTGAAGACATATCTGAAGACCTGGTTCCTCTTGGCATGTACCCAAAAGCTGATGACTTTACCTTATGCACCATCTCACAAGAACACTCTTGTAAAGTTTCTGGTTTCTAACAACAATTTGGAAACCAGAAACTTGTGTCCCTAAGTCCCTTACTTAACATTGCAGTATTACATAAAGTCACTACACCTTTTGCAAACACTGCATATTTATTCACCATTGACAGCACCTACAGCCCATTTCCAGTAATGTAAAGTGATGTAAGAGAACAATGTTTAAAGAAAAAGAATTGGACCTGCAATACGATCCTTCTAATATTTTGCTTTAATATACAACAGGCTTTTTGATTATGTCAAGTAGGGAGCTGCATCAGCATGCATAGGCTGCAAAGGAACAAGAAAAGGTTTATTCCTTCTGAAAAGAGAAGAAAAACACAAGAAGGAGCCTCCACAGAGAAACTTGTCTTCTCTTTGCAGCAAGGAATAAACCTTTTCTTGTTTTTGATTGTCGCCTTTCAGCTTGCACAAAAGCCCTCCAGCTTCCCTAATCAGGAATTGTGTATTTTTCCATGCATTTCTCAACTTTTATCTTTCTCCATTTTATTGTTTCTCATATAAATTATAAGCAAATTTAACTGAGGGCTGACATGGTTAATAATGAACATCTGTTACCTAAGACATAAGGAAGCAGTCCAGTTTCTTTAGGACAGGGCTGCAGCAAACACTAAGCCTAAATTGGAAGTGTAAAAAGTTAAATATTATCTGTTCTGGCTGTTAACTACGATGGTTTTGGCCACTCAGCATGTAACTTTCCCCGACAGGCGCTCACTGCAGGCCATATTTCATGCCTGTGTGTTACAACACAGCATCATGAAAGACCCCTGGCACGCCTAGCTCACACACCTGATCAAACAGGGAGTGCAGGTTTGTGAGGGAGAGCTGTGTGAGGCAGCATCAGGTCACCTCACCAGTAGCACAAATTGCACAAGTAAAACAAACATTTTGTTAATCTCCCGGTTGTATTCTATGCTGTAAAAGCCCTCTGTGAGCCTCCAGAATTGCTTCACAAGAAGTGATTACATCTTACATCTCTCTCTCGAAGAATGGAAAAGAGGAAATAAAAAGGAATTATGCAAGCTGATTTACAGTCATAGTAAAGAAGAAGGTAAAGAAGAGACTGGGGAAACTGTGACCGTGTTCCCTGATTGATTTTGTACGTTATGTATCCACTTAGCATGTAAATTTGCTTTGAAATTTAGGCTGAAATTAAACCCCGAAAGAATACAGGCCAGGGATCTGCACTCAGAGGCTCAGAGGTGTGAAAACCTCCTACAGCCAAGTAAGCTAAATAAAACTGCAGCTTTACCGACATTGCTACAACTTTTTTGGGGTTTAAATTTCACTGAAACGTCAATTGGGAAATGTCCCTTCCTAACTAAGCAAAAAGACACTATTGCATTTTAATAACGAGCTGTTGTGTTGGGAGAGTTGTCAGCTCAAGTACTAGCTTCAGAATGCGGGATGAAAGCGTTCTCCCTTAACTGGTACAGTGAGCACCCTTAAAGTGGGGAATATTTAAGTGGGAATCATGTGGCAGTTTTCTGGGAAGAGCCTGCTTTAACCCAGGCTGCCTGCTGTTCTCCCCGACAGGTCGGCTCAGCATGAGCCTGGTAATGGAGTACCTCCCTCACGGCAGCCTGATTGGATACCTGGAGAAGAACCGCCAGCACGTCAACACCAAGAGGCTGCTACTCTTTGCATCCCAGATCTGCAAGGTAATCGAGCACTGCGCAGTCCGCAGGGGTCACTCTCCCATTTCACCCCCCCCCCAGCCCCTGCGTGTCACGGGTGTCTGAAAAAGGGACGAACCGTGGAGAGGCAGGAGAGCAAAAATGACCCTATGGGTAGTGGCGAGACGGGGAGACAGCCCAGGCTCATTAGTGCAAAGAGTTCAGGAGTGCCTTAAAGAAACCTATGCCCTCAGGTAGCGGATGTGGGGCGACCTGGTGCTAGGCGGGTCTCAGGACATCCGAACGTCAATGCTGAGCCCGGAAATATATAGCCCCAGAGAGAGAGAGAAACACCGGAAGGACAGCAAATAACCGGAAATGAGAGACAGGACAGAGAAGGAGCGCCCTGTGGCTGCAGAGGGCATGACACTGGGCAGCCGAGCCCGTCTGCTCACACGCTCCTGCCTCCGAAGACACTAGTCCTGCAAGCGTTCGGGTAGAGAGCACACAGCCCAACGGGAGAGACACACTAACACTCCTCTTAGTTGCTCAAAAAAAACTTGATGTTGCCTTTGTGCACGGTCCTTTATGCTTTGTTTGAAGAAAGAATTGAATCCACAATTACAACAGTAATTCTGGGACATTTATGGGGGAAAAGGCACAGCTGTTGCTGAAATCACAGTCGTAAAGCAACCAGCTGATTCACCAGAGTGGTCTCAATGCACGACGTTGGTACTACTCTTTAAACGGAATAGGATCTCATACTTCAGTCATGCTTATGCCATGCCTAAGATCCAGGAGGGGCTGCTGCAGTTCAAACTGCCTGTGCCACTGGGGTGTGTATGTGTTGCCTCTTGTGTTTCCAGGGAATGGAGTACCTGCAAAGCATGCGATACGTCCACCGTGATCTGGCCGCAAGGAACATTCTGGTGGCGAGTGACACGCTGGTGAAAATCGCAGACTTTGGGCTCACCAAGTTCATTCCTCTGAACAAGGACTACTACCGTGTGACGCATCCAGGAGAGAGCCCCATCTTCTGGTAGGCAGGACGGCCTATATACTGTAGCAAGAGCTTCTCCCTGGGAATGAGCAAGGGGTCGAGGGACTTCAGATTCACAGAATACTGCTGTGTTGAATTCTGCAGTGCGACTCAGAGCGCCTTTAAGCAACACTTGATCGAGCTAAAAGTTTCAGGAATGCCTTCATTTTAGAAACAAAGTCTTAACGTTTTTATATTGAACACTGAAATTAAATGTAATATTTATCACAATGAGTCAAGTTTTAAAGATCTCCACAACTGGTAGAAGAGTTAAACTCAAGCGGTTAGGACACTTCGATTCTATTAAACCTTTTGTCCTCAGCTACAAACTGTTGACTGTCTAAATGGATGTAGAATTTCTACTAGATTCTGGACGCCAAGGACTGGAGTAGGGAGTCCCTGCTACAGAGAATAATTATAATCGCTGGATCTTGCCAGAGAAAATCTCTTTAAAACACGATATTAAACGCGTATCAGAAATCGGAAAAATAGGCCAGGAAGTCTCTGAGCCTTGCGACTCTAATCCGGTGATAACCCTGACACAGGTACGCCCCGGAGTCCATCACTGAATCCCTGTTCTCTCACAAGTCAGACGTGTGGAGTTTCGGGATCGTTCTGTACGAGCTCTTCTCCTACTGCGAGCACAATCAAAACCCAAAGAAGGTGAGAGGACCGGGGAAGGAGCAATGAGAATGTTTTCATTTTGACATTTCGGCAAATCATTTTAAGTTCTTTCATAAACCAACAATACATATTTAGCTCACAATGATCTCTAGGTTTAGGATGCTTAAAAGCCACAGTGGTTCTTATTACTTCCTTTTCAGATTATATTATACTGCAGGCTTTCCATGTTCCCAGAACACATTTCATCACGGAACACACCTTGTTCCATAGTTGTATAATGTTATATTTATAGAATGTAAAGGGTTCAGTCATAAAGTGTTTATTGCCTTTAAAACTGTAGCAATCAGTTCAAGTGCTGACCCAGGTGTGCTGTACAGGATGTACAGAAAGACAGGCATTAACGAAAGGCGTGTTCTTAAATTTGGATTGCAGATGTGTCTGCAGCAGATTGGCCATGATCTGCAGGGCCCCTCCATCTCAATGCACCTCGTCGATCTCCTGAAGAACAACTGGAGGCTGCCAGCTCCCTCACAGTGTCCTCCAAAGGTGAGCCAACACCCCGCCCCTACCCCTCCACAATCAGCTGTAGTCCTAGTGGCTGGAGTTTCTAACATCCAAGTAGCTGTGAGGCATTTCAAAACCTGTAATGAAATACTTTGTAGCACATAGGACTCTCCACATGCGTGACAATAAGAAAGTATGCCAGACTAAGGGCCACCTATCTCATTTGGTAGTTTAGCAGCAACTAACATTTAAAATTTCAGCCAACCTCTTCCTCACAGAATTCTCTCCCTGGCACTCGGATCCTGTAAGGGTTTCCTGTTGTCTGGCCGAAATGGATCCTAAGCTATCTCCTTCTTTCACACCTGAATCTAAAATATTCCCCTGGGTTATCTCCAGAAACTATCCTAAGGATTTTACATATTTCTATTCTCAGTCTCATTGTTTATAAAATAAATACGCTAAAGATATTTAGTTCCTACAACCTGTAAGACTCTTCTTTGAACTTATTGCAAGACTATTATGGTCTTTTAGAAGTATGATAACAAAAAACAGATCTAAACTAGGTGTTATCAAAGCACTGTAATTCCTGAGCATGATTTCCCTTTAAATTCACACTTCCTAGCATTCAGTTTGCTCTTTTACTGTATGCATTCATTGCTCTGATAACAACATAGAATCATCATATACATGCAGACCCTCATTTACATCCATTTATAGACATTTTTGCAGCTCAGACTCACCAAGCGAGAACTATGGCATTAGCCTCTACTTCCTGTGTTAATCTCTTTGTACTTGTCAAAATTCACATCAGTGTTGTATGATATACAGCAGTCGCCTCCCCCCCCCTTTTGAAATGTTTAGTCACTACAGTATTTTTTACAATTTTGCCATCTTAATGTATTTAAGGTGTCAGAGGAGTTTCATCTGTCCCATCAACACCAGTTGAAAAGTGGACTTTCTAAAAAAAAAGCTATGTAAATACCCAGTCCTGGGAGAATCTTCTTCTTAGACATATCAAATGTATTTGCACTTACAAATAGTTTGTAATTCTCCAATTTAAAAAAAAACACCAATACAAAATACTCAGGGGAATTTTTCTACCAGTAAATGCAATAAAACACCCTAAACAAAATCAGAAAGCAATTGTAAAAAAAAAAGAAGAAGAAAAATATGTATTGCTGCTAGATGATAGTTATCAGAAGAGCTTGACAGATAAAAGCTGAGAAGATCCCAAAACACTTAGAACATTTCTAGCAGATAAATCTGTACTTTGCCCTGCAGGTGTATGGAATGATGCTGAAATGTTGGGCCTACCACACCGAGGACAGGCCTAGCTTCTCACAGCTGGGGGAACAGATTGAAACCAGCCTCCAGGATGACAGAGATGGCTCAAAGGGCTGAGTAACCCCACAGAGCAGTGCTTCCTGTAGTCGGTCTTCTGGTTTTTGTGCAAGCTCGGTTCTCGGTTCTCGGTTCTCGGTTCTTAATTAATTGATTGATTGATTGATTGATTGATTGATTGATTGATTTCCATTTTCTTTTTGAGGTATACTTTTAAATTTGCTTTAAAGCTTTTAAAAGGTTGAGAAGAGTTCAGGTTTGGTCTCCACCTTCTCCCAATTTATGAGTTTCAAAATGTCCCTTATTCAAGTGTGGCTGCTGAAATGTTGAAATAATCAGTGATTCAGGTGTAAAATGTAACCAATTGGTCACCTCAGTGGGAGGACTGTTTCACACCTGGTCATGCTCACCTGTGTGTGATCATCATAGATTGATTACTGATGAAGTGATTTCATAAACCTGTAGAGGAAAGCTTGCCTGACGTTTTGGATTCTACAGCTGTTTGAGCAATGCACTTGAAGTAGAGCATTATTGAAACCAAAGACTGAAACAAAACAAGCAATTAAAGGATTTAATTAGCACCAGTGGTTACCAGTTCAGATGGAATGAAAAACAGAGGACGCAGGGTCTCCCAGGAAGAGGGCTGGAAACTATTGCTATAAAGATCTCAAACAAAAACTTTTTTTATGCAGTATTGTGTCAAGCATTTGTTATGTAAATGGTTATTTTGTGTGTTGTTTTTTTTTTACAATTTATATGAAGTCACCTTTCTTTATAGCGTCTGTTAGGTTTCCTTTCATTTTACATAGGCTCAACACAATCATGGTAAAATTAGCCATGTGCTTTTGAAAATATGGTCATATCAAAGAAGTATGGCACAATGCCGTCAACCTAGTGCTTTACATCGTAACTATATCGTGAGAGAGTTTTGACAATTCTTTTGATGTGTGAAAAATTCAGAGATGTTCAATGACACAACATGCAACAGCATCCATAGTGCACCAGTCTGCTCACCACACACAGGCACTCAGTGGGGAGGAGAGCAGAGGGATGAAGCCAGTTCAGAGATGGGGATTACTAGGATTACTACAATGGATTTGTGTGGCAAACACAGTGTTAGAAACCAATTATGACAGTTATTAGCTTAGCTAAGAGAACAAATTCTTCATTTATGGCGTGTACATTATCGAAGCAGAAGGTGTTAAACATTTTTGTCAAATGTCGTTATACTGTGTAGTTGGCTACTTTTGCAGAGCAAATACCAAATGTTCTTGGTGGGTTCTTGCATTGCAGAATGGAAAGCACACATTTCTTTTTAAATGCTGTTTCTGAAGAGATATGAGGAGGGAACCATGCTTTATCCATGGGCAAAACTGCCAAAAGGCCTCACTCTCAAAAAGTAAAAATACAAGATATCTGCCTGTCACTGCTGTTCAGTGATTAGGGCAGATCCTGATGAATGCAATAGAGCTTATTATGGTTAGAACATTTCACTGAAATCAACCATGAACGATTTTGAGCAATGGCAGAGACCTCTGACAAAGAATGTGATACAGAATGCACATCCCAAGCAAAGGTGTAACAGTTCGTGTTGAGTGATTTGAAAAGGCAAACTGGAACATAATGGTTAGCATTCTCATTCATCATTCTGTGTTCTTCTATTAAATGAAATGCATGTAACTTTTAAAAAGAATGAGGGATTCTCAGGAGAATGATTGTTAGGCAAGGAGAAAAGATTATAGAGCATACATATTTTTATAATAAAAAGGCTTTTCAATAATTATTGTTTTTTTTTATTATGTTGCTGCCATATCATTAAGATTCACCACATCCAATTCAGGTTAATTTCTTTTTTTTATGCAAATAAGGTCACATTTTGGATTACTCTTACATTCATCTATCCAATGGAAAACAAATCGCACGGTAATCTAATCTGATCATTGTGCAAACGAGTATGATATGATTCTACCTTAGTTTGCGCTCTAATAAGAAGATAAAAAAGTACTAGTCACAGCCTGGACAAGAGGACTTTGTCCTTTGAGTTTGCTACTTTCTAAGCCTCAGACCTGAACAGTTAAGGATTCCCATTGAACATGAAGAATCATTCATAATGTTAATCTTCCTAACCACTAAATCCAGTTTCATTCAGATGCCTAACCTATCAGAAGTGCCCTGTGCGTAGATTGGAACAGCACCTAGCATTTCCAAGCTTGGTTTTACTGACTCCCTGCCCCATCTTAAAATAACTTCAAAGCTGCTCAGACTTTCCACCAATGCCAGACTCCCATCAGTCAGCAGCAGGACTGAAAATTACAGACAATTGATCATTCTTTAACAATCCATTGAACACATGCTTCCATAACCCTTTTCATGCCTACACAGGAAGCTGCAACCTTCTTATAGAGGCACTCTGAGTCTGGCCATATCTGATTAATTACTCTGAACAGTAGTTTCCCTTCTCGAACAATGTGGCAGTCTTACATGAGATTCTTGATCAAAGGATTTGACAAGGTTTGTGTTCACACTACTTTTATCCAAGCACTGGGAGGCTTGCCCTTCAAATCGGAACTATTGGCTCTGAATAAGAAAGATAAAATTGTGCTAAAAAAATATACAGGTCACTATTTCATACTTTTAGCATTCGCCTAGCACGTTTCTGCACTGGAATTACTTAAGCCTATTCAATTGTTCACGAGATAAAACAAAACAGGTGATTCTATAGAGGCATGTGTGCTATTGCAGGAGCCTTTATCTGCATTCAGGGCTGTAGATCCTGCCAAGCGTTTCAAAGGCTGCTCAGCAGTACTGTACCAGCTCGCTCAGGGTACAGCCTGACCTGCAGCACACCCCTGCCGGGCCCACTTCCCGCCTGGACCGGGAGGACCCTGTGAGGGGAAGGAAGGTCTGTGCTGGCACGCTCGGATCCCCCTCCGCTCTGGACTCTCTGGGAACGCGTGACATTGAACTGGTGCGCTCCCGGGGAGGGAGGGGGCCAGGCTCCCCCGCAAGGTCGCCTGCCGGAGAGCTCCACGTCACGGTCGTCACGCTGGTTCCTGGATCCTCCCAGTCATTGAGTTCATCACTGGTGAGCCGTTCCAGGAGCTTCCCTGAAAACACACGGACAACGTACATACGTTCAAGTGTTAACCCATAAATATCGTTCAGGGCCCCGGGGATGTGAACACTTAGAATCAATACAAGCAAAGCATTCATTATTGTGAGTAGTGCTGAGGAGGCATGGACATTCAGAAGGCACTTTACATTCTAATTGAAATCCTTATCATTCCTTCTTTAAGCATAGCAAATTTTAAATATAATAGAAAGTTCATAATCCTAGGAAAAAGCACATAGCGAAAACTCAAACAGTGGACCTTGCTTCATTTTCAGGTACTTAAAACACTTACAGGGTTGGGCTAGTTTAGACTCAAAGCATGGACCGGGAACAGAAAAGAAGATAAAATTCAAGCCATTCTATGATAAGGCAAACAGAGCCAGGTAATAACCCGGTTTGGGGTGTACCAAGTAAACTCATAGCATTCTGAAGCGACTCGTTTATCCAGAACATTTAAGAAGAGTTTTAGACAGCTTAAGGTCTTCAAACCAGATGACCAACCTAGTCTTCTTCTTCCTCAATGGGCACAATTTTCTGCTAGTCCTCATTGACTCCTGGATCTATTCTGGATCTATCTATAATGGATGTATTCTACGTTTTTCACCTCTACTGCAGGCTAACTTATACTGTACCAAAGAGTAGACATCGGTGAACTCCTCTCTGAATTACATGGCTATTTGAAACAAATCTTCTAGTCATGAAAACAGTTGACTTACAGTATGGATTAACTCGGGGTTGGTCAGATTCTGGAGTAGAGCGCTTCAGCCGGGAGCTTCCACATGACGTCACAACCATTCGGATGAACTCCCGACCACACAGCTTCACCCGGTTGTCCTGGGTCCGAGCCCCACTGTGCCAAACCACAAGCAGGAAGAGGAAAGAGGAGAACCACCGGGGCATTCTGTAGCTTCCAGAGGACCTGAGATCCAGCCAAACGGAGAACAGGACCTTCTCGGGGGTAACCGTTTGAGGAATGTCCAAAAGGGCTGTTTCCAGGGTTTATATAGCCTGGGGTATGTAGCCAGACATTGACGACAGACACCGCAGGCCTGTCACGGAATTCCAACGTGGACCCACCTAGCCTTGGCCTGAGAAAAGCATGTTCCGATCCCAGGATCACAGTTTGGTACTGAGTCCCTCAAGGCTGGGGTTTTTCCAGATAAGGTCTTGTCAACCAGTGATCTATTGCCTTGTGATTATTAAGCAATTTCTTGCTTTTATGCATCCATTTATGAAGGCTAGTTCACATCCCATTGCTTGGGTTATAGGAAATTATAGAGGCCCCTTATTATTCTGAAATGTGTGTATGGGTAATTAAGGGAGCTTTTTTTGGGGCATCAAAGGATCCAGATTGTTCTGGCCATATATTTCCTTAGGTTTGTACAAATCACTCGGGGCTCTTTAACATGGGGGATCAAGCTTCGAGTTTGGACTCTGCATAGTGGCCAGGGATTTGGAGGTTTTCTTACAGTGTGGTTTGTGTAGCTCAGAGCCAGCAGTTGGCTGTGATAAGTCAAGCAAAGCACATTTGTTTGTAAGAGGAAAGATGTTTCCAACAGGCCTGATATTTGGCTGTACTCCAACAGTAGTAATATAAGTCATGTGTGTACAATGTGTGTACTGTATGTCAAGAAACCGTAGTTTATCCACTTGATGCTCACATACTGTTCTGAGAGATGAACATCTTGAATGCATCAGCATTTTGATATCCAAACCTCACCCTTATCCTTCCTATCATATATTTGTAATGTTTTAGAGACTTTGTTGATACTGCAGCCTTGAAAAATACTTTGCAATTCAACACCATAATGATATATAAGGGCTTTATCTTTAAGAATTGTAGCATATAGTCACTAAGTGGTAGGGATGCAGGTGTGAGGTGAAAGGTCAAGGATGACAAATGTTATGTTTCTGACCTCATCCGACTGGTAGGACGTACATGATGTCTTGGAAACAATATTCTTGTAACGTCATTGCCAAAGACATATTGTCCCAATTGCTGAGCTATCTATACAATTTATTACACAATCCTGGACGTAGAGTGTATCCATATTTGCCCCACAGATAAACTTAATTCAGAATATGTTAACACTCTAGAACCCATATATTGCGGCACACACTTTAATCAACATCTCTGACATGCTTGGCCCAGTAACTGCTGGAACAGACAAAAGCAGTGTGCAGTTTATTTTGATGCAATTTGCTTCTATGTGAATAGATCTAATGGGCAAGGAACAGAATGAAGACAACACAGTGACTAATTTAACTATGTTTGTTTAATAATTAAACTAATTCCTTACACTTATATAGTGCTCTTCTGGACACTCCACTCAAAGTGCAATGTGCAGCCCCACTTGGATTATGCAATAGCACATCTTAAAATGAAAAATACACTCATTATTAATTTATAGCAAGATGTATCTACACCACCTAAAGCTCCAATGAACATACTGAAGGAGGGTTTTATTACTTACTTTTAGTGCAGTGCATATCACACACCAAGAAACATGTGGCACATTCTTTAACAATCCATGTGGATTTTGGAAGTGAGAGTATTTATATGTATATACATGCCCTTAATCTTTTACATAACACAACTCACTTGGGCATTGGGTATAGTGATATATACAACCTAAACACGGTCTGTTTTCAATAGGAGAGACTTGTTCCTTTGACAACATTATTAACATAACATACTGAAATAAAAACCCAGCCTAAAAGGGGTTCAGTCGCAAAATGGAGGAAAAAAAAAATCAACTCACATATACAGTATATTGAAAGTGGATTTTGCTCCTGCCTCCACATTGTTCAAGACGAAACGCTCTAGGCCTTACTTAAGACACAGGCCTCTTAAACAAAGCACTTTGGTGATAACTGTTCAAGAGCCAGTCTGTAGGTTGTAACAAGACAGGTGTGTGGGGGGGGGCACTCCCACAGGTGTAGACAATAGATGTGTAATGGAGGTTTCCATGGCAACAATGGAACTGGTTGCAAGATGAGAAATTACTTCTAAAAGAGAAAGTCTGTACCAACAGAGGCTGACTTGTCTTCCCAGCACTTGGATTCAATAAGGAATTAAAGGCTTCTGAAAAGTGATCAATTGGACCACTTACTAAATAGGTTAGAGGTTTAAAAACCCACAACACTCCCAATCACTGGAAAGGGGAAAGGCAAAATAGGACACAGGATTTCTTAGAAAAAAATCATCATAAAAGCAGAAACAAAAGAAGATGTATATTCTACTATTGTCTTATGATCCGCCACAGGGAACCAAGGGGAGAGAAACTAACTTAATCAAATAATTTTTGCAGTAGTACGAGATTCCTGCATTTCAAAGTATCAGAAATTCCTGTGAGTGACTTTCAGTTTATGTTTTGCTTTGCAGTTGCTTTCAGTGCCACAGTGAAGTGTGAGGGGTTGATGACCTGTCCTACATCACAGGAAACAAATTCTGCTGTGCTCATCTGATTATCTCGGAAAACACACACATAGTTTCACAGGAACAGTCTGTGACAAAATAAGACATCCCCTCCTCCTAACTCAGCTTCTACCAGATTTTGAGTCTCAACAAAGCACCAAAAACCTCAAGCCTTCTTTTTTGTACATTGGAAAAAAAGTATATACTCATTACTGAGCAGTTTCCAGCTTTAAAAATCCACCCACATATATGTTTTTCTATCTTTTAATGTCTTTGAAGTGCACGCCATTCATTTATCCTTCCTATTTCCATACCATTACAGGCATGATAACAAAGCTCTTTGTCATTTGCAGTTCTGAGACATGTTTGCTTTGGAAGGGCAGCTTGAATTTCCTGAGCTTTTGCTCACAATACCAGGAGCCAGAAAAAAACACCAACAAAAGACAATGAGCACCAGAAGACTGGAGCAACTGCGCTGTAGGCAATCCAGGCAGGGCCTTCAGAAGATACTGCCAGTAATGCCCCCTCGTGATGCCTAATACTTCTGATCTTTAAGAAGTCAAACAGAAAGAAAACTGCTCTGAGTGGATATCATTTTAATAAGTTATTATAAGACCTGCAGAAAATCCATGAAATGTGCAAAATGTGCTCTTGTATGCCTGAGCCAGGAAAACTGTAATAGATGACCCGATTAACCTCTATTGTTTTATACAGCAGAATTTATTTTCCTGCTTAATTGTTTACTCATTGACTGGACACAATGTGACCAACAGAACCCTCAGAATCTAATAAAAAAAGAAAAGGCACTAGGTGCAGCTATAAAAACAATATACTTTAGTCAGATTTCAGTTTTGGATTAAACACTACTAAAAAGTAAATGATCTGAGTTTTTCTATATTTCAATTCCAAGTAAGTAAATATCAGTGACACCAAGGGGTACCTCACTTTAATATACTGTAACACACAAGAGGACTTGTACAGTAAATACAAAGTGCAGATCAAGAATAAAGTATTGTGTTTTTATAATTGAAGGTTGCAAACTACAAAAAAAAAGACGTGCACAATTCTTTTCGAACTTTTTTTGCTTTACACTTAAACAGTTCCTCTTTAGCACCAACACTAACCTCTCTTGCCATGCCAGGAACATGCACAGTGACCACGGGGCACACAGTACATTGTGTTCTGTTTGAAAAACAGGAGCCCGAGGACTGTGCCGGAAACCACACAGAGGTGCAATTCATTTGGGGGAGCGAGTTGTCAATTCACCCCCTGCTGTTTTCTGCAGCAGCACTTCAGAGCCGGGTGACTGAACTGAGCTCCTCTCCTCTCTGTAGCCTGCCTTGCTTTTGCAATTTCTTACCTACAATTGAACCTATTTCCAGAAATCGTGACTTGTAAGGGGCGCGGAGAAGAAGAATTAATCATTTGGAAATTTGTGCCCAGCACAAGGCTTTTGATCGGAGACAGATCAGATAAACTGACCCCCCTCCCCCCACGACTCACTCCTTTAATATCTTTTAACCAAAATAGCTACAAAAACTACAACAGAAAAAGGGGACTTTGCTGAGATTTTTTAATCCTATACAATTATTTTCTCAGTTTTCGGTATTTTTCATTTCTTACCCACCGAATTTGAAATCGCAACGTTTTCCTGCAACACGAACTCAGCTGCTTTTGTTTCTTCTTATTCACAGCAATCAGTACACCTCTTAAAAAAGCAATTAGGAGCTAGTGCACTTTCACCACCTCCCAGTGTATGAAACCGTATTCATTGTCCTCTGCATACAGGATGTTCAGCTTATAGCTCAATTAATGATTAATTCATTGTAATTGTAAATACTGTAGTTAAGGCAAAACGCTCCAGTGGCTCCAGTGGAAAGCAGACTCAGGTCTTGTTGGTAATTAGCAGACGTTTGTTTCTCTGTTAAAAACACCGATCAGCCCAAATCCATTCAAAATGATATCAAGTGACAAGGCTGAGCACGCTGGGTTGTGTCTTCTCCACATGGAAGAAAGTGAAAGGTACAGAGCAGACATGCTCCTCAGATCAGCCCACACACATACGAATATTCCCCCCAGAAATACCCACCTCCTTAAAGCAATACATTTTCTGCTTTGCTTTTGGGAAAATTCAATCCTCTAGAAGTTATGACTGTCCATTGTAATGCTACGTGGGCAATTATAATAGAATTAAATCTTAGTGTGGAACACACTTTCCTACTTAGCAGCTGAGAGAAAGATCAGAACTCAATTTTATTTTTTATAAAAAAAAAGAAAATTAAAACAACTGGGCTACTGACAAAATACACACAAAACAAGAAAGAGCTTAGATTTAACAATTCTAGGAGGTGAAATATTGACTTGGTTACATGATAATTGCAAAGCTTGTGTAAACCTTTATGATCAAACATTTTTTATAGCATTTTGTTCAAGGTAACATGAAATGACTTATCATCTTGATAGCTGAAAGTCTGGATAACATCTAACCACAGCAATTTGCAGACAATGAAGAACAGGCTTGCATCAAAGAGTTTATTGATGCCAGAACTTTGGAAACACACTCCATAAATAGTGAGTTTCCAAAATACAGTTTATGTACCAAAGAAGTACAAGAAACACAAACCCAGACTTGAAAACCACGAGTAAAGGGTCTAAACAGAACACCGTAAATGATGCATCATCTTTGTCTTATTGCTTTCATTTAAAGTGATTTAGACAAAGTAGTCCCTTTCAATCTCCCAACAAACAATGGTTAATTAGGAATCAAAAGGCTAGAATTTTCAGTTCACTAGGTAAACCCACTCCCCTGCTCCTGCATCAGCTTCACATCTCTGAAAGGAGCAAATGTGCAATGTCTCAGATTTCAGCTTATCTGTCCGTCATTGAGAATTTCCTCCACTTTTTTTTGGCTCAGGGCTATGAGGATCAAAAAAGCCGGATCTTTCATCTAACTTCGATCTGGCTTGAAGAAGCTCCTTTCAATGGTGTCGTAAGCACCGTCACAGCATGGAGTTGACTGTTGCCGAAATGCCACATTTTAAACCAGGCTCATTAATCCCCTGCCACATGACGAGAATTTCAAAAGGCAAGAACCGATGCACTAAGAGAATCTCCCGGTAAAAACAGGGATCATAAGGATCCACATTTTGGGAAGGGATGTGCAAGCCCGCAGTTCTCACTCCAATGTGAGAGATGGGTTCTAGTCCAGCCTTTTGTAGGCACATACCCATGTAGACATCATCGATGGGCAGAAAAGTAATGGAGTGGGACATGTTGTATATAGTCCTGGCTGTATAACCTGAAAGAAGGAATCCCCCTCCACCACAGTATGGGGGATACGAGTCTGATTCCTGGACCTGAACAGGGACATAGTACTTGCTTCCAGGTTCCCTGATGGGACCCACATACCGGATGAGGTGGCCCACAAAGAGATGCTTGTCCCCTGCGCTGCTCCCTGAGCCTTGCAGAAACTGGACCATGTTGCCGGTGTTGGCAAAGATATCATCGTCCCCGTTGAGAAGGAAATGGACCTGGGGACACCGCTCCTGCATCCACTGCAGGAAGAGGATCTGCTTGAGGGTGAGGTTGTAGAAGGAGTCGTGGAAGTCCCACTGCAGGACGTCCTGGTACTCCTGGTTCTCCAGCTGCAGCAGGCGGTTCAGCTTGCGCCTCTCCCTGCCCTGGCCCGCCGTCCCCGAGACGAAGACGCGGCGCACCCACACGCCGTTCTCCCGCCGCTCCCTGCCCCACGTCTTGCGGATGACCTCCCGGCGATCGTAGTTCGCCGGCGAGCTCTTGATCATCAGCAGCAGGAAGACGTCGGACGAGTCCTGGGGCGTCTTGCCGCACTTCTCCGGCACGTCCAGCAGAACGGGGAAATCCCGGCAGTGACGGTACCGCAGGAAGTCCTTGATGTGCGGCGGGAGAGAGGAGAAGCCCGAGATGTTGGCCATCGAGGTGTTCTCCTTACACTTGGCCACCGTCTTCCACTGCAGCTGGCCTTGGCCCTTGGTTACCGGAGGCTCCCTTACGGCGATCGGGCTGTCCTGCCTCCTGATGTGCAGGTCTCTCCCGGAGTCACCTCTCTGGAAGAGCAGGACCATGCAGAGGGTTCCCACCACCAGCAGCAGGCACGTTTCCACAACGTGGGCTGACCTTCGCATCTCGGCACCTGCGCGAGAGAAACCAGAACCCCAGGTCAACGGAGGCGAAGTTCTCGCCCGAGTCGCGAACATAAAACACTTTAAAAAGATCGACCTTCAAACGCATCGAAGGCCCATTTGAGATCAGCGTGTCCTTGCAGCGCCTGCAGCATGAACGCTGACCTCACCTCGGAGCGGCAGTTGCATGAACACCCTTTGCCTTCCTGACTGTAAAAGTGACAACGGCTCTAAACATGATCTCTGAACCCATTCGCACCTCGTCGGCTTAAATGTGAATTTGGGGTGTCTCATTAGGATCACACTGTCGGATTTCTACTAGATTTCTGGAGCGAGGAGGGAGTGCGAGATCCGGGAGAGCCTGACGCTTCACAATGGGAGTTATTTTTTTTTAGACCATTCATTATTTTTAAGACAAAGCACAGTTCGTTCTTCTCGTTTTCTAAGAGTCAAGACATTTGGAGAGCTCTGTGCTGCACATGAGTGCAAGACTGAAGAAAAGGTTTCCTAAATAAAAAAGTTAAACGGATGTATAATAGGATTCCCTTCATTTCACAACAAAGGTTGTATTAACCGTTCACTTCGCTGGTTCAATTTAATAGACTGTAAAACCAAAACCTCCTTTAAATTCCCACATACCCACACGGATACAATGTTTGGTCGGTTTTAAGATCAGACTGCAATGACCCCCCCCCAATCGGCCATAAAGAATAGATACTTCATTTTAAATGTCTTGGTTATTACATGTAGCAAACCGACACAGCCAGTGTAAAATCAAACTAAACGGTCTTCATAGTCCGTTGATTTTTTTTTTTATTGCAGCGAAGCACTATGAAGAATCAGCTCGGTCAGAATTAGATTATGAAATGAGAAAAAAAAGTGATAATGGCATTTATCTCAAATGTGCAGTTATAAAATAACCCCTGGACATAACAGAGGATTCTTTTGTCTTCTGATATGCCACCTTTACGACATGTTCCACCTACATGTTTTCTGTAACTACTGTATAATCGGGCTACAAATATTACCAGTCGTTTAGGGTAATACATAACGTTTCCTTCTCGTTCTTCTTAGTGAAATGTATAGAAATCGGATTTAAAATTTTAGCGAGAAGCATATAGGCTGCATTTCGTCCTTATTCCGTTTCCGTTGGTACCTTACATAAACCAATTTTCATCCTGCAATTATGTCTACAGTCGTATACAGAAATGTGTTGGTCATTTTCATTACACGAAATTAGATCTTATACTGTACATTCGTTTAACTCAAATTGTATTATGTTATTAGAAAACAGACTTGTGTTTAACTAGGGGGACATTTTTGCGGTAAAAATAATAGAAGAGTTTAGTCGTAATAGCTACTATTAATTAAAAAAAAGACAAACAGAAAATTTGAACTGGCAAAGGAATGGAACCTGACCATCACTGGAACAAGCTGTGATTGAAGACGGCGTTTTTCTCCATCGGGTTACAGTCGTACAGACGTCTTACTTTTCAAAACTGGCCCATATAGGGGAGCAGATTAATTCCTTTTGCAAATCCGAAAAGCGCTGCAGGACCCGAAGGACAGCGCGCAGAGACTATTCAAACCTCAAACAAGAAGCAATTACGCTCGAACCGGAGAAAAATAAGAAACCCGTTCATCAGTTCATCACCCGATTCCTTAAAACACCCCATACCATACCGGTATGCACATAGCAGATCCTTTTTAAAAGTGGCGTCAAGTTAAAAGCGTCATGCATTAGCGACTGAATGATGTCTAACCGAACTACAATGCGGAAATATTTTGGAATGTGAGGGGTAGATTCCTCAGCCTTGGGGGTGTCCCCGTCCCTGGATAGTCGTACTCTGATATACCAGTTTCTTAAAGTGGCTAGCTACAGTCCTTACGCAATAGGATATTACAGGCAAATAGAGGCGGAAGAAACAAAACCAAACGGGTCATGTAAATCTCATTTTTTTTTTTGAAAACCACCCCCATCCATTTCTTCCGTTTTCTATTCGCTACCCTGCGTGCTACAAATAAAAAAATCCTCTCCCGAAAGGGAATGAAACCATTACATATCGAAAACACTTAAGTCTGAAGGTCCCTATCAATAAAGTACTACTCCCTTCACCCGCCTAAATAAGTACTTCATCGATTTTATGAAGGATTGTTCTTTACCTTCTATGTATTTTATCGTTTTATTGCAAACCAAAAACGGTAACTTTCTTTAAACCATGGTGATACTGTACTAAAACGTCGAGATTCATTTTGTAATTCTACACGGCACAGTTACATCTTTCTAAATAAAATAAGAACACATCTACGATGAAAGATTCCTTGCTGCGGTATTACACCTTCCACTGTAATTTAAGCATGTGCTGTGCGTGTTTGGGGTGGGGTCTTTATAGTCACCAGTTTTAAACGGAAGCAGTTTGTTTTTCTTCTTGCTTTGGAATCTATCTCGGAATGAAAGAATACTGGCATTTCCAGTTCAGTGAAAGTGGAGTTGTTTTCGTTTATCTTTTAGAATCTCACGAGTCCTAGTCGCTGCTTCGCGCTTTAATCTCAGCAGGCTGAATTTTGCTCTTCGATCAAGGCAACAGCCACAACACGAGAGGATTAAAACCAAAAACAGACCAAACACGTTAGGCCTGTCCATGGTTTCCGTAGTCACCTAATTGTGAGGACGTTTCTTTAGCAACGAGAAACTTGGGCTGTATTGTGAAAAAGCCTACCAATGCCACTGGGCCAAGTAGCCTGTGGGGTCGTGTTAATTGTAATTTGATTTTAATGTATTGAAAGAAAACCCAAGAATTAACAAATTCCAGGCAATGTAAAAGCACTCCAATTAGATTTCACTAGCAACAGATTGTTAAACTTCTGTCTCATCTACAGCTTTGTTTCCTATTCCTATTTAATTCTGGCAAACATCCCTCCCTTCATAAAAGTTACTGATGTAACGTCTTTTTAAAACAGTTCCGTTAAAACGACATTTTAATGCTAACGTTGCTTTGCTCCTTGTTTTTAATAGGCACTGATTTGTATTGTAGCGGGTTTTTTTTTTTTTGCAATTTCTTTACAACATTGTGAACTGCTTTTCTGAATAAGATTAAGATTTCTAACACTATGCCTTTTTTTCCAAACACCTGACGACATATATATAGAGAGACTATATATCGACTACTCCGCAAACGGTGTTTCGGGAATAAAAAGGAAGATAGCTGGGCTATCAGACATTCGGGGTGACATGAGCCAAAAAGGCAAAGCCAGCTGTACCGAAGAGATTTGAAGTTTATTGTAGCTGGTGCAATTTCCCTGTTCAAACCAAACTGGAGAAAACTGCACTGTTTCAATTCGCTTTTATTCAAAATCTCAAGCAGGTGTTTTTATTTGCTCGCTCTCTACATAGGCTCATTGCCAATTTTGTGAAGCGGTCCCTTCTATTCATGCGGGTCTTCTTTAAAAGGGTGTAGACGAAAGTCACGAGCCACAGCCGGGAATGTGTACAGAGCTTTTCATCTTCAGATAATCTTAGATCGCAACATTATCAGTTCATGTTGCAAGTACTGTGTCACGTCAAAAAATACAAGACAACACGTCGATGACGTAGCTGTACTCGAATTGACAGCTGGGCATGATAACGAATTTGGCGTCATTGGCTGCAGTCTCTGACGTCAACGTCACGGGGGGATAAAGCCATTCTGCTTAATCTAATTCAGCGAATACATTCCTTTCCGATCAGAAATGCAGACTATTCGTTACTTACTGTACGCTCCAGAAATGAGGAACGATTTTGTCTTAAACATTAGCTTAGCCTGAAGGCTTTTTGTTTTCTCGGGCAGATCTTCCGAGTCCAGTTTCATAATGGCGTCGCCTTTCTCCACTTTTGGTTCAGTGTCCACGAATAAGGTGTGCCAGAAACATACTTTTTGGAAAATGCCAGGTTTAAAAAGTTATTTTTCGGATGCGGAAAACAAAAGAGATGTGTTTGTCTCAGATCGGAGACGAGGTGTTTCACTTTTTCACTGGTTTCTTTCGATCTTTTTATATCCAGCCCCGAAATTCTGAGAGGAGCAGGTTCAGACTTACACGAATAGCCCATGGGGACAGAGACATTTCTTTTTAACCAGGTTGAGCATATCGTATTATTCGCAACATGTACATTGTCCCCATATCTCGGTCGATTCCGCAAGGTTATTTTGCTGCAGTTTCATCTCATTCAATATTTGTGTTCGTATAAAACAGTCTTTCGGAATTGTGTCTTGCGTTTCCAAGTAATACTGATTCACTCACCAAAACACGCTTACTTCATAAAATCACATAATGACATTATATTGCAAAATCATTTTTTATCGTCTTGGTGGTTTAATTCTGACCCAGACCAGCGCCCGAGTGACCGACTCCAGTCAGCGGTGCGTTCAAGGTCATTTTAACCTCGGAAGAAATGAACTAATGAAACACCTGACTTGAAGAACTGGAATAACCAGTTTTGTGTTTTAGGTATCGAGCAGCTATGCGTTTTAAATTTCTTGCCAAGATGTGCTGAACTGCTTCGGCTCAGGAACAACGAAACAGAATCAGGTCTCGCCGTCCTAATACGACCGTAATGCCCTTGTCCTGTTATATTAATTAGCGTACGCGTTAGGTTCTGTTTTCGCAGAGGTTTGGGGGAAATGGTTTCACAATGCATGCATGTTTCTTCTTCTAACACAAAACACCTGAAGAAGGCTCCGCGGCCGAAACGTTGTGTTTTCTTTCTTCTCTTTTCAGCATGGAATAAACCTATTACTTGTTCCCTAAAACATATCCAATGACAGCCCTGACCCCCGGCACCAGCCCGCCTCCTGTGTATTGTTGTAGATGGTGAACAGTAACTGAAGATGCGGCCTGATTAATATCCTTTGTACTTCAATAGCACGAGCAAAAAAAAAAACGTTTTCAATGAAAAGGGAAGTCCGAAATCTGTTTACACTGAAGAGTACCGCTCAAGTATTGCCGACGATTTCTACATTCAGATATCTGTGGCGTTTTAAAAAAAACTGGTATCATTTTCTGTAGTAGTTCAGGTGGGTAGCTGCGTCAGCATTCGTAGGCTGCAAGGGAACAAGCAAGAGGTTTATTCCATGCTGAAAAGAGAAGAAAGAAAACACAAAGTTTCGGCCGTGGAGCTTTCTTATCATTTTTTATAGGCGATTTTGTTTATTCCGTTGTAACCAATGCTGGCATAATCAAAAGTATATATTGTACCAGTGATGGGTTTTCCTTGATTCTGGACTACAGCCCTCATGACTTCCAATTATCTTTGAGTTCAGAAGCCTCGCTCCATTTGTGCGACGTGCAGACTTCACTCATTGAGTAATTGGGAACTCGTTCCCTTTTCTCTGGATATCCGAGCACACTCTTTCGTGTATTTGTAGTTTTTCCATACCGTTTTCCTGCTATCACTTCAAGGCTCAAGAGACTGAAATTGTGTGGTTTATAGCGGACTACATTAAGTGAAACTTTAACAACTTCACTTAAGCGTAAAGCCAGTTTGACTTGACAATATAAGGAGGGTAGTTGTAGACGACTAACAAGATTCACTAGCGGTTTTAACTGGCTGAACTATTTTTACAATTGAGAGCATTAGCAAATCCTTTTTAACTTCAGACGCCGTTATCCGCCTTGCAGTAATGATACGAGGGGTGATAAAATCACCCCTGTAACGAAATGCAATTAACAATTAATTAAAACATTGTATCGTCCGCTCTGTCTTGTAGCTGAATACAGCTATTAGTGATTGAATAATTGATTCATATTTCCAAATCTACTTGGAAGCACCATCACCTGCCACTGTTTTGAAAACAGCGGCAGATGATCTTTTGAGTTTGTTGATCAAATTGAAACCCCCTGTCATTTTCCAGGAAGGATGACGCCCTTTCTAGTTGAATGTTTTCTTTTTAGTTTTTTTTCTTGTGTCCCAAACCTATAGAGAAATTGATTTTACCCAGAAGGGCACTTTGTGAAACTCTGACAAAGTATCATCGGTGGTTTTAAATAATTATTATCACTGTCAATAATTATTCCCCGAGCGAATAACTGTTTTTCTAGTGGAAATAACACGAATTCCAAAATAAATGAAGTTTCAACAATCTAATCTAATTTATTTTAAGCAAATCACCGTTCAAAAACATGACTTGTCTTGAATTATCCCAAACGTTAGTTTTCAGACATCAGTCTTAATCGTAATATTTGTTCTCATTATTTCTTGTACTTTTAAATTTTAGGGAACAATATATGGATTTGTTCTATGGTGACAAACTATATAAAGTTTTTACGTTTTGTTGACAAACCTGGACAAAAACAAAATAAAGATAAACAGCTTCAGCCAAGTTTATACTGTACAGTCCTACTCCTCTGAAATATGTAACGTTTATTTACAAAAATAAATTCCCTGGTTGTCGAAAACAGGTCAGTCTTCGCGTACTCCTTCTGTTTTCCTGTACTGAAGCTGAATGATAAATATATCCGTTTATGACGGTCTTTAAAAGGTGAGCTCTCTTTTTAAACCCAAGCGTTTTCAAACGCACCACTTTCTAAAACACGTCAAAAAGAAAGCAAAGGTATCAGTGTGAAGTGCTTGTTCAACTCACAAGCGCTCCGCTCCAACTAACGCAAAGACACAAATGCAGCATAAACTAGTTCAAGATCAAAAAGAGCTGCGAGATTGGAAAGCCACCCTTGTCCATGTGTTGCAGTTAGAGAATGCGAAAACAACCGGCAAACCCGTGCGAAATGAGTAAAAGGTTTCGGTTCTTCACCTGGTGCTGCTAGTCTCCTCCGTGGGGCTCTTCAGCTTCTACTTGGGCGCAAACGCCTTAACTCACAAGCCACCCAAGTTTGATCTCGCGTTGCTGTGTGTGAACTGATAGCTCAACGCAGAGATATCCTGGCCATTGCAGCTACAACAGATGCCATTACCCCACCCTCGCCGA